GCACCTGAGGAGTGGCCCTGAGCCACCTGCTCTTTCGCTGCACAGCGCTCAGGCCCCAGGGTGGGGGTTCCTGCCTCCATTTGATGGTGAGGGGACAGCAGAGCCCACAGAGGGACCAGCTTGCCCTGGGCCACGCAGCAGGCTGGGGGAGGCGGACCCGAAGTTTGGTTCTGACTCTGGGTCCAGGGCAGGTGTGCGCTCCCAGGCAGGAGCAGACTGTCGGAACGAGTAAGTAGATACAACCTGCTGGTGTCCGGAGACTCAGAGTCTGCACCTACGTGAAACAGGACCACCTCCTCCGGGGGCTCCAAGGGAGGGGTGTCTAAACCGCGGCAGTTACTAATGCCGTGTGCCGCTGCCAGTACCATAAGTGACCATGACAGTCACGCTGCTGCAACTCACGCTGCTCAGTTGTGCTCTGCTGTGCACTGACGCCATCTGTCTTGTTGCCAGCTTGTCTGTTCTCTGCATTTACTGAGTGCCTAATGTATACAAAGCACTGCTGGGAAACCCAGAAACACCCAAGGCCCAGTCCCTGCCCTGGCGGAGTTCGGGGTCCAGGAAGTAGGCAGATCTGGGGAGAGGAGACAACACAAGGCTGGCTGCGACCGGGGCCACTCTGAGAGGGTTGTCCTCCCTTCCGGCAGGGAGCCCAGGAGGGCCTCTCAGAGGAGGCGCTCAGATGAGGGGGGCCTGCCCGTGTGCTGTCCCTGCCCCGAGGGCAGAGAGACCACTGCCTGGTCCCCTGGTCCCCAGAGGAAAGCTGGCCCTGCCAGTTTGAGGCTTCCCTGGGGTGTGTGGGGGTCCCGGGCATAGGAGACTGGCCTGGCCCGTCTACCCAGCAGCCTGGGTAGGGCTGTGCTCCTCAGCAGGATGAGGAACGAGTTACAGAGGGTGAGGGAGCGTGGTGGCCCAAGTCCCCCTAGGAGCCGTGTGGCAGGGGTGCACGGGCAGGAGCAGTCGCAGTAGTCAGGGCAGCTGCTGGGCAGCCCACACCTCTCCTGGCCCTGCACTCAAACTATTGCAAAACTGTCACAAGCCAAGCAAGCAGCACGATCGCCCTGGACTTTGGACAAGAGGCGGTGGCTTGGGGGCCGGTCCTGGCTGTGTCAGCATCGTAGGATCCATCACCCCTCAGGGCCGCTTAGCGCCCTACTCACGTATGCGACGGGGGGAAAGGCTGTCTCTCCCGCGGGCTGGAGATGGCCAGGCTCCAGGCTCCGACCAGGGAGGCCGAGACAGGGTCCTACCGCCAACCCACACGACCTCGGGCTGGTCTCATCACCTCTCCCTTCGCAGAGACTCAGTTTCCCCATCTAGGAAGCACAAGTTGGAACCCCTGCGGTGGCAGTCTTACGGGAGTTTTGTCAATTTGCCTGAGTGTTTTTACTTTCTGCTTCTAGCGTACTTTGAAGAAAACTGGTGCAAATCAGTCATGGGCGATCTTAATTTGGGGTGAGGGGGTCCTCCAGGCCCACAGATCACAGCGGGGGCTGTGGCAGGCTCAGCCCTCTGCCTCATGGCCGGGACACACGTGGGCCAGCCTGAGACTCTGCCTCTGGCTGAGGCTGGCCCTCTCCGCAGGCCCCGGCCAGCCCTCGGCCCCCACCTGCTGCCCAGGCTCCCAGGGCAGAGGGAGGGGTCTGCAGGCCGCCCTCTGCGGGGCAGGAGTCCAGGTGGGACAAGGAGGTCCTGGGGGGGAGGCTTGTCCACCGAGCTCCGTGTGCCCAGAGAGAGGGAGCGCCAGTCAACACCCGACCAGTGACGCGCCGACGTCCTGCTGACGCAGAGGAAGGTGGACCTGGGGGGCAGGCGGCGGGCTGGGCACGTCAGGTGTGTCATCTCGGGTGAGACAGGAACGGCTGCTGCCCACTGCGCGGATGAGACAATCGAGGTAGAACACAGCCAACGGGTGCCAGACCCAGGCAATTCACGGGCCGGGGAAATTTCCAGAACAATTTTCAAGACTGGCTTTACACTGCCAAGATTTTATTTTTCCTATGAGAATCTTAAAAGAAAACCACCATATCCCCATGATTTCATGAAGACACCGTTTTGTGTCACCCACCAAAGCAGAAGGGACTTGTGGTCCCCCATCCGCCTGACATCCACGTGCAGGAACAGGTGCAAATGGCTCCGGGCCCATGGCCACCTGGACCCTGGCATTCCCAGGAATGAGCAGCTGAAGTGATCCCCCCGGCACAGTGGGAGGGGCAGCTGCGGGGCGCAGGGTGCTGGCGCTCACGTCCCAGAGAACCCGCTTCCCTCCATGACCGGTTTCCAACGTCATCTGAGAGCGAAACCAGCATGGTGGTGAAAGGTCCCCGTGCTGAGCCGGTGCAGGGCAGGTGCCCGGCGTGCTGCAAAAACCGTCGAGGGGCACTGTGTCCACAGCTGCGGGCACTGCCGCAGTCCCGCAGGGAGACGGGACACGAAGCTTCGGCGGGACATCCTGCCCGCGGTGGGTGGCTCTGGGCTGTCCTCAGGCCCGGGCACAGGTGCCCACTCCACAGGGGGGAGTTTGGAGGGAAGGATGAAGCAGCAACTGAGACCCCACAGCACCGCCAGACTCTCGGCCACAGCCAAAGCCTCCAGGGCTCTCACGCAGGCCGCGGGCAGGGACCCCGACGGGACCCAGCTGCGCTTCTCATCTTACTGGGTCTCCCAGGTTCCCAAGTTTCTCCTCCCACGTGGGGGCCACCCCTTGTCGGACACACCGGGTAGGGGGCCTCTTGTCCCCTAGGGCGGCCACTCTGCCCTTTCACGCTCCCTGCTGGCATCTGGGAGCTCTGCCTGTCCCACGCGGCCTGGGACGCCTGGCTGCGGGGTCTCCCGCGCGAAGTGTGGTCTCACAGGGAGCAGAGGGTGGGAGACCTGGGGGCTGGCAGGAGAGACAGGCAGCCCATTGCCACGGAACAGTGCTGCAGCCAGACCAGAACGGGCGGTCTGGGGTCAGGCCGAGCTGGGCAAGAGGTCACGTGTGACCTTGGGAAAGTCACATAACGTAGCTAAGCCTATTTCCGCCTCCCAAAAATGGGCTGTTCCATCCCTCCTCCCAGGAGTGTTATAGCTCAGACGCAGCGTCCGCCAAGGCTGTGCCAGCCCTGCCCACGGTGGGGGGGGCCATCCACGGTCGTCAGAATGAAGGGCCTGGTGCCCTGGTCCCCCCGTGACCCCCGCGGGCAGCAGTTCTCAGTGAACAGGAGCGCATGGCTCTGACCCTCTCCACTGTCAGGGCTGAGACACCGCCCAGGAGTCAGGAGCCCGGGGCACTGGCACCTCCTCCCTGCTGGGCCCGCGCCCTGCCCCAGGCGGCCCTCCCGCACCCCGGCTCCGGTCTGAGTACAGCCCCCGCCAACGCCTGCCCCAAGCTCCCGCAAGCCCCCCGGCTCTCTGCTCCCCAGCCTGGGGTCCTCTCCAGGGCTTGGCTGGCAGCTGGGAATGCCCGCCCAGGGCTGGCCAGCAAGTGTTTGGTCCCCCCACGTGTGGGCCCCAGAACTCAGAGCTGGAGGCTCCCGGGGAAGGTGCTGGAGCAAGTGGGCCTCCTCGGCCTGAGAGATCCCCCCAGGCCCTCCATGGGGGTATAGCAGGGGTGGTCCTGAAGCAGGTGGGGCCCAGGCGACGGGCAGGGGCCTGAGCCCGGCTCTGGGCTGACCAGGGTGGAACAGTCTCACCACTGACCAGCTGCGCCACCTCGGAAGCGCGGCTCGCCTCCCTGTTTGTAGTAAGCACTGACACTGGCCCAGCACCGCTGCAACCCACTTGGTCTCACAGTGCCCCGTGGGGTCGGCCCCAAGGCAGGGCTGCCGGTCACTCGCCCCGGTGGCCACGATCCTGTCTCCTCTCCAAGGCAGTGCAGGCCCATCTCAGACCCTGCATTCCCCAGCATCCACTGCAGCCAGGAGTGGCCACAGGGGCCTCTGCTCCCTCCAGGGCCTCGAGGCAGGTGCTCTGGCAGCCTTGGACCTCGGGTGGCTGTCAGGGAAGCCACGCTGAGGAGGGAGGCCGGGAGGGAGGAGCTGGGGTCCTGACCGCGGGGTCCGGTGGGGCAAGACAAACCACCCCGACTGCTTCTCCGGAGAGGAGGGAGAAATACATATCTGCTTTGTTTTCCTCTGTCATGCACCACGGAACCTGCCTTAGTGGAGAGAGAGCGCCATTCTCATCTCCAACACACATTCGGAGGAACAGAGGCTCGGGAGTGACCGATGTCCAGGGGTGGGGCTGGGATCCGGACCCCCTTTGTGCCCATGAGGCTGCCTCGCGGGCTCTGCAGGACGCCGTGTGGGAAGTTCGGGGTGCTGTGCCGTCGGGGGGAGGGTGCCCGGCGGGCAGCCGTGGCACCATCATCCCCTTCAGACCCATGGCCTCTGCCAAGGCCGGGCCACACTGAGGCACAGCACCCGGCCAGGGCAGACCCTGCTGGGCTCACGCGAAGGAATCCAGCCACTCCCTCCTCTCCCGGCATGAAAGGCTGACCACTCCTGCAGAAAAGAACCAGGTTTATTCGCAGTAAAAACTGTGGTCTGGAAAACCCATTGGCAAGTGTACAGTCCGTGTTCCACTGGGGTCGCCACCAGCTGTGGGGGCCCGGCGCCCCTGACCCACATGCATCCGGCTCCTCTGTTCACGGCTAATGTCAGGCCCCAGGTGCTAAGTCCCCCGGAGACGTCCCGTCTCTTGCTGACACCGCGTCCCAGCCTGGCCCCAGCCCTCCAACCACCCTGCTTGGTGCAGTGCAAAAACAAAACCCAACTAAACACAAATTTCAAAACAAGCACAGAACAAAAAAATTCACAAAATCCAGGGTTCTAAATTATTTTTTCTCAGTGTCCTTTGTTATCTTGACGACTTGTTTCCTGACGAACTAAAATATACATCATTTTCTTGCTATTATAAAATCTCTTCCTTATTCACAGATATATCACGGGAGATTTGGATGAAATAATTACAAACTTTTTCCTCTTAAAAAACAAACAGGCCAAACGAAACGCAACAAAACAAAAATCCCAAAACCAACACACAAGAACTTTCTGACAACAGTAAACACAAAGGGGGCTAGCTGGTCCCCCTGCCGTCCTAGGCTCCCGGCGGGGCTGAGGGTCCCTCCAAAGTGCTCCGTGCACACGACACACAGGCCTGAGCGTGCGCTCCCTGGCCAAGGCGCCTCCACGTCTCAAGACTTTGCAGGGTCTCCTTCCGCTGGCCGCCCCCACCCTTCTGAGCCTCCCACCTTGTCCCCAGGCCCCGCCCTCTACAGGGACCAGTCTCCCCAACACCTGGCCATGGCCCGGTCCCCTCCTCCCATAGGCTGTGCAGGTGGCTGAAGGGAGGGGCAGCCCAGGTCTCAGCAGAAGCTTTGGCTCGGAGCTGGCAGGGAGCTAGTGTCCCCAGGTCTCATGCAACATCAGGGTAGAGAACACAGGGTCTGGCTAAACCAGCCAGAGGTCAAAGGCCAGGAGTCGTCAGGAAGGGGGAGCACCCCCAAGAGCACTTATTCTGGGATGGCCACAGGCCCAGCGTGGGCTGCATAAGCTCCCAGAAGCAGGTCCCCCCACGCTAGAACCGACATCTCGTGCAAAGGCTGGGCAGGGCCTCCGGGACCACCTGGCAGGGAGAGGAGGCCCAGACTGGGACGCCTCCTGGACAAGCCCGTGAGCGGCAGGGGCCTGGCGAGGGAAAACTGCGTTTCCTTCCCTGCCCGTTTCGGGGTCTGCAAAGACGTATCTGCCTATCTGCAGGGCAGGGTGAGCAGGGCAAAGAACAGTACCATCGACTGGGCAGTAGGCGCAGCGACAGCCTCCTTCCTGAGGCTCCTCCCAAGAGAGGGGGTGCCGTGGGGTCTCTGCACGCCCCTGGCGTGGAGGGAATTGAGGAGGTCTGGGCAGCCCCAGGGAGCCAGGACCACAAGGCCCCCGTGCAAGGCTCTCCCCTCCCATGCCCAGGCACGGCCGGGGCTCGGCACAGCCCGGCTCCCGTTTGCCTCTCCAGGCCCGAGGCCTCCCCCAGAGCAGCAGGAGCAGCAGGCTGAGGGCAGAGGCTGAGCAGAGGGGCTGGGGCAGGTCCCCTCTGCTGCCCCCGCCCTCCCTGGACAGATTTGCTCTCTGAACTGAGGCTCCTGAATGCCAGCTCAGCCTGAGGGGCAAGCAGCGAGCTTCTGTCGCCCAGGGCCACACAGCACTGCCGGTGCTCCCCCTCCTCGCGCTCTAGGGGGCTGGCCTAGGTTTCCTCTATGTACAAGTAGCACATCCAGCTGCAGACTGACGGAGAAACGGTCACACTTGGGATTTTGAACACCCTCCCCCTCCCTGTGGGCCATGGAAAGTTGGAGAGCATTTCCCCTCTGAGTCATGGAGGAGCTAGAGACAGGCTTTGGAGCTGGAGCGACTCTCCCGAGGAAATCCGCATGGCTGCTGTGCTCCTGCGGTCACTGGACACCCTCCTCTTCTACGTACGTTGACGGAAACCAACCGATCTGAAAAAGACGGCAGGATCGTGTGTGCGCATGTGTGCATATGTCGGGGTGGGGGTGAGTAGAGGCTCGTGGACATGAGGGACCCTTCTGGAGCCCAGAGCTCTCAGCCAGGCCCGCCACGCAGAGCCTGGTGGAGCCACAGCCCAGGCACAAGAGCGGCCTACAAACACACCGGCCTTGGCCAGTGGAAGGTGATCTGTCCCCCTCCTGCTGCCACTCAGGACAAACATAAGTCCTCTTGGGGAAAACGACATCATCCAGAACGTGCACAGTTTTCTCTGTATGTGAGCTTGGCGTTCGGTCAGGACCAAATGACAAAACCAAGGGAAAAGGCAGGCACAGAAACCAAGCCGCAGGGATGGAAGCTGTCGGGGGATGTAAATACCCCAGTTTGTATGTTCGAGAGAACTGATGGAAAGCTACGCAGTTTTCCCAGAGAACCGAAATCAGAAATTAAAATCCTAGAGCTGAAAAATACAATGATTGAAACTAAGACTCCAATAGAGGATTTGACAGCAGAGTTGACAGAGCTGAAGAGAAGATGAATAAACTGGAAGACGGGTGGATAGAAAGTGACGAGATGGAAAACCAGAGAAATATACAATGGCGCGAAGAACACAAAGGCCACAGGAAACAGATCTGCCACCCACGTGGACGGAGCCCCAGGAGAGAAGAGGCAGCAGTGAGCAGATGCACTCTCTGCACAGACGCTAGACCAGCCGAGGGATTTCTAAAACCAGTGGACACTGAGCCACAGATTAAAAAATCTCTGCAAATCCCAAGGAGACAGAATCGCACCTGGGAACACTGTAGTAAAACTGATGACAAAGGCTTTTTTCTTTCCCACACAGCCCAGTGGGGCGTGGAGACATTTCCCTCGAAGGAGGGACACTGAATGTTGACTGAGGCTGGGCGCGGTGGCTCACACCTGTAATCCCAGCGCTCTGGGAGGCCGAGGCAGAGGATCGCTTGAGGCCAGGAGTGCGAGACCAGCCTGAGCAACATATTGAGAGCCCGTTTCTACAAAAAATAAGGAAATATATTTTTAAATAAAAGAATTTTGACTGACTTTTCTACCAAAATAATGGAAGCCAGAGGACAATGGAAAGACGTCATCAAAATGCTATTAATCACAAAGTATCTGCCAGCCTGGAGTTCTATACCCAGTGAAAATATCCTTCAAAAATGGACTCAAAACAAGTCCTCACAAGAAAGGAACTAGATCTCCTCGGGGGAATGGCTGGTTCCTGGGCAGAACCGGTAAGCAGAGGTGAGGAGAAGGCCTTCCTCACGCAGCGTGCTACCAGCACCTGGGAAGAAACGACTCAGAAATCCCCATTTCCAGCCACGATGGTGACGGCAGGAGAGAAAATGACCAACAAAGTAAGTAGGGGACATGCGATGAGGAACAGGACGCGTACCTAGTCTCGGTGTCACCCTGCAAATTACTTATTAATTACAGCAACGTCACAGCAGCCGGACCTGGCAGACACCACCTTACCCAGGTGGTCAAAGGTGTTACTAAGTCACAGATCATGGGACACACTGCAGCACACATCCCCTGACAGGACACCACGGCACCGAGAAAGAGACAACCTCCCATCATGGGCTCCCACCGGGAACACGTGACCTCAACCTCACCACGAGGAAACCTCAAACCAACCTCAGCCAAGGGACATTCTACAAACTCTTGAAAAATGCCAGTCGTGTGAGACACAGAAAGGCCACGGGGCAAGGAAATGCAACTCAGGATCCCAGACGGGGCCAGGGAACGTCTGGATGAGACGTTCCTGGGACAAGTGGGGACAAGTGGGGACATTGAACACGGACGGTGGATCAGACGACTTGTGTCCAAGGGGACTGTCTTGACACAGGAAAGCCTGAGGTAAACGAACATGACTGCCGTGATTCACTCTTGCGGCCTAGCGGAAGACAGGCGCGCACACAGAGCGCCTCCACGCAAACAATAAATCGAACGACGCAAAATACTCGCGACTGGTAAATCCGAGCGTACGGGAGCTCTTGATGCTTCAAACAGTATCAAAATGAACAGCTACAAACGTTTTAAAATGAGAACATTAAAAAGGAAAGTGAAATGAAGGTGTTTTAGATCCATCAGGAACCGGGACTCCGTCACGGGCGGTCCCGCTGGGGACACGCCGAGGAAGGCGCACGCCTGGCGGGGAGGACGAGGCCCGGGGAAGCTGAGCAGGTGCGAATCCGAACGCAGCGGCCCAAGACGAAAGCCATGTCTCGCGGGGTCTGAAGATGCGTAGACCTGAGACGCACGACAGCCCTGGCCTGAAAGCTGGGGGAAAACGCACAGAATATAAGGCTGCAGGGTGCACGTGTTGTCTGAGAAGCAGTGAGAACACTCATTTAAGGTGACCTCTGAGAAGGCCAAGTGCAGGCTGTGACCCCCAGGTAACCGCCTATGTAAACACGAGTAACCAACAAACCAATGGAGCGCGGAGGACGGGAGTAAAAAAAAAAATACTGATTAAAAGTAGGCAAGAAAGGACAACGGGAGGAACAGATGTGACAAACATAAACAGATGATGGATTTAAACCTAAACATCTTGTAATTACGTTAAATGTAAATGGACTACACACGCCGATTAAAAGGCAAAGATTGTCGGATCCAACTGGCGTCAAGAAACATCCCAGCTGTTTGTGAGACTTGCCTTAAAAACGTAACATGCAAAAACACTAACCCCAAGGAAGCTGATGTCTAGAGACAGCAGATTAATATCACACAGCAAGACCAATTGGTAGAGATAAAAAGAGACATTTACAATAACAGGATCAAGTTGAGAGGAATTACACAGCGATGCTCAAACCAGTGGCTCTAAAACGCAGCTCTGTACAGAAACCATCTGTGTCTGCGCAAGGCCCAGGTTTGTCTATTAAATCACAGCCCCAGCTGCTTCCAATGCTGACGACAGAGGCACGGCTTTGGGAGCCAGGGGGCCCCAGCCCTCCAGGTCGGCTGTCAAGGACTCAGTAGCCCTCTGAAGGTGGCTGGGTGGAAAATAGACCGGACTGAGGGCCCCCAAGGGCAGGCTCCATGCCAGGCAAAGGCTGACTGGCTCATGCTGGCTGGCAAAGGCAGCCGAGGCTGACCGTCCCTCTGCAGCCCGGGCACCTGCCCCGGCAGTGGCAGCCCTCAAGGAAAGCCAGGCATTTTCTAGTCGGTAGCACATGGAACTCTGGTGCCCGGCTGGGCAGGTGCTGAGGGACATGGGTCAAAGCCAGGGCTGCAGACGGGCTACTAGGACAAAAAGGCCATGGACTTTAGCAAATCTTAGGATAGGCAGAGAAGGGAGATCACTGGGCCCCCCAGCACTTGGGAAAAGTGTGATGTGATGGGGGAGGGTAGCGGCACGGCGTGTCCCTTCCCATCTTCCCACGGTATAGACACCCAGGCCCTACTCAGCCCTGGGGCCTCTCTGCCTGCAGACAGAGCCTGGGCACCTGCAAGTCATTTGAAGACTGTCTGCCAGACCTGTCTCCCCACAGCAGCCATGCGGGCAGCCCGAACGGGGCTGAACACAGGTGAGCATCCTGAGGGCCTGGATCTGGGTCTGACCCCTGCAGCTGACCTCCAGCTGCGTGACCTGGGCTGAGGAAACACCCGGGGCCTCGGTTTCATTGGCCTTCCTAGCTGCTGTGCGGGAAGGGGCACTACGGGAAGAGGGCGCCCGGTCCGGGGCCGGGCTGTGGCCGTGGCGCTAGCTGGCCCCGCGCTGCGAGGGCGCCTGCAGATGGATCAGGGCGGCCACTCACCCGTCCGCTCGTCTCGCCCTTCCACCAGCCCTGGTCCCCGCCCACGCGGCTGTAGATGCGCACCACGTCGCCTTCCCGCAGCGAGAGCTCCCGCATGTCCCGGGCTGCAAAGTTGTACCTGGCCACAGCCGTGCCGATGACCCGGGGCGTGAACACTGTCGGGGAAGACGGGCAGTGTCACACGCTGCAGGAGGGGCCCAGACAGGGCGGGGACAGGCCCGGGGCTGAGCTGGTCCCCCCTGGTGCCCGCAGAGAGGCCCTGGAGGGACACACTGGCCTCTGCTCCCAGGGCGCGGGCCCTCCGTGGGTGTGGGCACGTGGCATATCCGAGTCCCCACAGCGAGCGTGCTCTTAGGGATGAGAGCAGGTGCCCACGCTTTGGCTGCGACGGCGCCTGTGGTTCCCCGATTCCAGGGCCCAAACCAAACGGGAAACCTGGATGGACCAACTCAGCCCGGGACCCAGGAGTCCTGATGGACAGGGGACAGTGACCATGACTGAGGAGACACACACGGCCGCTGGGAGGGGTGTTGACTCTGGCAGTGGAGGCCACGCGGTCAGGGCTGACCAAACCCCGTCCTTCCTGCACCCGAGCCCCACACAGCTCCTCCCGTGGCCCCGCAGCTACCAGAGGCAAGGCCCGCAGGAGCGAGCAGGGGGACAGCTGGCAAGGCTGGGGAAGTGGCCGCCAGGGTGGGCACGTCCACGGGGGTCGGCGGCAGCCTCCGCCCAGCCCCCAGCCCCACTTCCCTACAACCACTCGGCGGGCTGCGGGCCGCTGCGGCCACATCAGGCAGGGCCGAGGGCCTCCCCAGGCGGCCGCCGCGGGCCCGGCCCCCCCACGCCCCCGCAGCAGCGGTACCTGACCAGAAGGGAGCGGAGGGGCCCTGGGAAGCAAAGCTGAGGCCCTGAGGGCTGAGAAAAGAAAAGTTGTAGGAAGCACAGGAAGCTGCAAAGAGGCGAGAGAGGAGGTGAGACAGGCCGGGAGGGCGTCCTCGCGCGGTCACAGGCAGGCACAGGCGAGGGACATGGAGTGGGGGAGGGGGAGTTGCCGAGGGGCCGAGGTGGTGGGACGGCACGGCTTCCAGCCCCACTCTGGCAGGCACAGCCTGGCCACACCCGAGCTGCCCTTGAGCCACTCCCCGCCCTGCTCCTCGGTAGGAGACAGGACCCCACCACACAGGCCGGTGCTGCGGCTGACAGCCGTGCTCGATAAGGCCGGTCCGCCCTTCCCTGTCCCACTCTGCCTGGGAGCAACCCATAGCCCTGCAGGCTGCAGGACGCGCGGCGACTCAGCGGACAGAGTCCTGGGCCGGAAGCCACGCTCTCTGGGCCTGCCCCTAATTCCAGGTGGCCTTCCCTGTTCTGTGCCTTGGGGTCCCCTCTGCAATCAGGCTATGTCTTGCAGTGGAGGCCAGGGGCTGAGCACTGGGAAGGTCTGTGGACCGGGACGCCTGCCCTGCTCCCTCCCACCAACGCTCATGACAAGTGTAGGGGTCTCCACCTAGGCCTCCGCTCGCTGATCTCTGGGCAACGGAGCTGAGTCATGGAGTAACAGCTCAGAGCAGGTGCTGGAGTCCCTGTCTGTCACATGCACGGGCGGGTGCCACTGCACAGCGCCTGTGATGGGCTGGGGAGGGCCCGGGCCCCGGGAAGGGGCCGGAGCAGATTCCCTGAGGGGCAGGGGGTGCTGGCGCATTGTCAGGCTAGGGTGTTACCTGGGGACCGGCTGGAGGCCCTGCAGGCGGAGCGCTCCCGAGACTTGTAGGGGTACTTGAGTGTGGTGTCCAGCTGCTTGAAGCTCTCCTTGAGCGAGTGGCACTGGTAGTACTCCACCAATTCCTGCAGGCGAACACACCACTGCCGCCACCGCCTCCAGGCAGTCCTCCCCCGGACCCAGCTCCCTCGCCCACCTCTCAGGTTCGCATGGGGGGGACTCATCTCCTTGACGCCCCAGAACACCCCCGACCCCTATGTCCAGCCCATGGGGGGTGGGCAGGATCCTGAACACCTTTGAGCCAGCAACGACTCTCCCAAATATTTCTAAAGAAAACAATTGGCAAGAAAAGGCCAAGACTGACCAGCACAGATGCTGATGGCAACGTCCTTTCTGACGTAGAAAAACTAAAAATACCCTTGTGTCTAACGCTAGGGCCCCACTTCTCGAAATACCAGAGCGAGGTGTGGCCATCGGCCAAGGAAAGAGGGTTCCTCAATGGCGACTGCCAGCTACTGTAGGAGCTGGTTAAACCTCAGGTACACTGTGGACACTGCTCTGGCTTTGAGAAGCGGTACGGAAGCTGCCCCTGAGGAGGTGTCTATAGGCTACAGCTGAGGAGGCGTCCACATACTGCCCCTGAGGAGGCGTCTATAGGCTACAGCTGAGGAGGTGTCTATAGGCTACAGCTGAGGAGGCATCTACAGGCCGCCCCGAGAAAAGTTCTGTGAGCTGCACCAGAGCCACGTGCGGAGTGGTGGCGCACACTGTCACCTGAAGTGTGAGCGCTGGTTTTTCCTTTGTGGGGGCAGGGTTGGGGCGGGACTACAGACACTTTCTTGTGGCCTTGTGCTTTTGTGTGGCCAGAGTGGGGACACTGAGCACCTCACAGTCTTGTCAGATGCTCTCGATACAACTTGTGTCATTAATAGGTACAATTTTAAAATCACTTCAAGAAGGACCATGCCTTTATCTGGGCTGGGTGGGCAGGAGAGTGCAGAGGGTGGGGGTGGGTCGGGGATCGGGCTGTCCAAAGCCACATCAGCGTGACCTTGGCGACAGGTCAGGCCCTGGCCGGACCTCCCCAGTGTCCACCAGGGTCCAGGCTGGGCACAGGTTTGCGGACTAAGAAATCCCAACTCGGGGCTCCGACCTGCCCTCCCTGTGCCTGGAGCCCGACAAGCCAACTGCCCTGGGAACAGCCGTCCCCCCTGCGGAAAAGCAGCCGGGGGAGCCGGTGGCCGGAGTCACGCACCAAGAGGCTGTCGAACTTCTTGGCTTCTGTGATGTGGATCCAGCTGTCCTTCTCCACCACCTTGATGTGCTTCACCTCGTCGTTGAACCTGCGCACAGGCACGGTCCGGCGGTCACTGCGAGAAGGCCACGCGGTTCCGGCTCTCCCGCCCGTGTCCAGACTTATTCTGTCTGCCCTCGCTCCTGTCCCACCCACGGCCGCCCGCCGTGGGTCCTCTCCTGCCCCAGGCCGGGGGGCCACCGCCTCCCGCCTTGCCCATTGGAGATGAACCTCTGAGTGGGCTGCAAGCCCCGCGACCCCGAGGCTCGGCCGCCCACCCCCCACGCCGAGGCTTCTGCTCACTGTGTCTCTGCGCCGGAAGCTGCCCCCACCTCCCTGGGGGGCCGTGGGCCCAGCCCCCACAGCAGCCCCTGATATGCTCCCTGCACGTCACTCCAGCCGGCGGCCCCCAGCCTGCCCCTCACACAGGCCAAGCGCAGCCTGCCCCAGCCCGGGCACCGGCCACCCCCTCTGCCTGAACACTTGCCTCCTGCCTCCTCGCGACCCCACGCCCTCAGGCCTCAATTTGAACGTGATCTTACTAGAGAGGCGCGGCACCCCTCCCCCAAACATCACCCCCTCGCCCCACCTCGCCAGCTGACACCAAAGCCAAAGACATCACAAGAAAAGGAAACCACAGACCAATATCCCCGTGACTACGGATGCAGAAATCCTTAAGCAGCCACCGGCAAACCAAATCTCTCTCCCCTCCCTCCCTATATATACACAGCCACGCATCGCCTGACAACAGGGATACGTCCTGGGAGATGCATCCATAGGCCACTTCAGCATTGCGCAGTACTGAGTACTGAGTACTAAGTGTACTCAGACAAACCTAGACGGTACAGCCTGCTCCACGCCTACACCACGCGGTCTAGCCTGTGGCTCCCGGGCTACACACCTGCGCAGCTTGTCACCGCACCAAATGCCGCAGGCAACTGTGACACAACGGTATCTGTACATCTGAACACACCCACACACAAGGAAAGATGGCATGAAAGACAAACAGTGGCGTGCCCATGAGGACATGCGCCACGATGATGATGCGCCCGTGCGGACACGTGCCACGAGCGGGAGTCAGGGCGTGGTGGCGAGGGAGCGGGAGGCTGCGACGTCACTGTGCGCGACTGCGGACTTTGCACACGTGGCATGCCTGGGCTATGCTAAATTTATAAAAACTTATTTCTTCAATAAATTAGCTGACTGTAACTATTTTACTTTTTAATGGTTTCAACTGCGAGACTCTTTCGTCACAACTTGGCTCGCAACAGACGCAGCGTGCGGCCATGCACAAAGCGTTTCCTTCATATCCTTATTCTCCAAGTTTTTTTTGTTTTCAATTTTCTTTTTTTACTTTTTAAACGTTTTTTGTTATAAACTAAGACACAGACGCACCCTAGCCTAGGGCCATCGGCGTCGCTGTCTGCGCATCCACGTCTGACCCACTGGAAGGTCATAAGGGCACGACACGCGTGAGCTGGCATCTCCCGTGACGACGCGGCCTCCTGCAGGACCTGCCTGAGGCTTTCACGGTTAACTTTCTTAATATTTACAGTAAGTGGAAGGAGTATGTGAAATGATAAAATGCATAGTACAGCGGACGCATAACCCACAACAGTCACTTGCTACCAAGTACAGCTGGTCCCCGCGTCACGGACACGCTCCCGACAACATCTTTAGGGCGGACATGTATGTCACACGGGCCCCTGACAAAACCGTGCGCATGTGTGGTGGCAGCAATAACAATGACAACAGCAACACGACAATGCTCGCATGTGTGACAGTGACATGGTGACGCCGTGGTCACAATAACGCCTCTCTGCCGTAAGAGTAAGTGACAGAAACTGTCCTGCTCTTCTGACTCCTAGGCCACCAAGGAACAGCCCGGGAGTGTCCCTATTCAGGAACGTTACGTTTATTTTGGTCTTCTAACCCAGTCAGTAGCTGTCCCACGTCAGTAACCAGTCCCCGCGCTGCCCAGGGGCCCCACGGGAGCACCGCCCTGCCACGTCCCGCCATGCTCACTGCGCCCTTCCTAACCGCCCACGGCCAGCGGTGCAGCCTAACGCTCTCCGTGCTGTGTGGCCAGCTCAGTGACACGTGTCACTGTCACTACCGCCACCGCTCGCTGCGCTGTGCGGCCGGCACACCTGTTTCGGGCCCAGGCATTCGACCGGCCTTCTGGGCAGGCGACGGCGCTGGCCCCGTTTGCCTGTCAGGGGTTGGGGGGGTGGTGAAGACTCAGGGCCTCGTCCTCAGCTCAGGCGCTCAGATCCCTGCCTCCCCCACACTCACCCGGGGGTCCTTTAGCAGCCGTTTGTACGTGCGACCCTGCCCTGAGTGCTGGGGCGGGGGCCCTCTGCCCGCCTCCGGGCATTCGGAACACGTGTGCGGGCGACATCTGCGTGTGCTCAGGCCAGACCGTGCGTCCCAAACTGCCCGGAGCAGCCGCAATTTTGGCCCCCCTGGGTGCAGACACAGAGGAAGCTGGGGCCCAGAGGAAGAGGAAAATGAAAGCTAAGATGATGGGAGACAGGTGGGGGCTGTGTGTTCAGGACTGGGGGGCCCTGCTGAGCCCGGCCCAGGCCTGCCGTGAGGGCTACGGGTTGCTCCTGCATCCTGCAGAAAATCCCTTCTCTACTCGTATTGGCTTCTGCAGAGCACCCAGGCTGGTCCGCTGCGGCCACCTGGGGGCCCCAGACACAGGGTGTGCCCTGCCCAGACCTGCCCAGCAGGCCAAGGAGCCCCTTCCCTGGACACAGAGCACCCTGCTTGGGACTCTCAACCCCACCGAGGGCATGGCAGACCAGACCCTGCTATGTGCTGGCTGACCACTCTTGTCCATGGGCGCCCTTTGCTGAGGGTGACGAACGACCAGTCCTGGTCTGTCCCTTGAGGAGGCTGACTGCAGCCCGCAGGAGACAGCTCCCAGGGAGGCGGGCACGGGGCAGGGCATGTCCAGACCGGAGGCTGCATACCGAAGCCACGAGGCAGAAGCCGCCACAGGAGACGTTCTCCCCGGCCCAGATGCCAAGGAAGCAGTGGCACGGTCCCGTCCTCCCCAGGGCCCACCTCGCACAGTAGCCCACCCGCACCTGCGCCCAAGCACGTATGGGGCCTGTGACCCACGGGGCAGCGGACCCGTGAGGCGGACGTGGATCACTGGTGCCAGTCAGGCCACAGGCACCGTCCAGCGGAGTGGAGACCCTGGCGCCCGGCATGGCTCTCAGTGCTGCTTCCGTCTCACAAGTGTCCTGGCTCAGGCCGCAGACGACGGGGTCACCCAACCCAACAAGCTCAGGACGTGGAGGGGACGGGGGCTCCACGGTCCAGAACCGCATCAGGCAAGGGTCCCCTGGAGCCCAGGGCCACCACCTACTTGATGCTTATGGCGAAGCGCTCGGCCTCGGCGGGCCGCTCTCGGATCAGGTAGGTGCCGCTGGCGTGGGCCTTGAGCAGGTTGTCCGTCTGCTGCCGCTCCATGCTGCCCGCGAACCTGCAGCGGGCGGGAACAAGCCATGACATGACCAGGCACCACCCGGGGCTCTGCCTTCCTCCCCGCGCTCATCTTCACAGGGTGAGGGGCGCAGGGCGGGTGGGTCCGGCACCCGAGCACAGCACCCAGGGGCTCACAGAGATCTCTCGGGGGCGGGATGAGAGACGGGGCTGCTTTCTGCTCTACAGTCCCAGGCCTGCGAGAGGAGTTCAGCGAAACACAGGTCCAGGAGATCATGTTTCTTTTCTGAAATATGCATCTTCCACCATTTGAAAAGCAGCAATGACGTGAGCGCCAACGTGGGTATTTTGGGTAACATGTTGGAGACCATCGATACCTACGTCAACTGAATCTCCAACAGACTTTGAAGCAAAGCGCTGCTGTGGTCTCTACCGCAGCGAAGCCCACGCTGAGACGCGCAAGCCCCCCCCAGACCTGCCACGACACGCACCTACTTGCCAGGGTGAACTGAGACTTCCGGAATACTGAGCACCAGGGCAGGGTCCACATTTAAAAACCGAAGTTGTCTTGTTATTCCTCCCAGTGAAGCCCCAGGTTGCGGGGTCACCCCTATAGGACCACGCAAGTGGGAGAGGTGCCAGCCAGACCCGTGGGCATCTCAGAGAGACGGACAGGGCGGCTGAAGCCTGTGCAGCCCCTGCAGGCTGTGCAGACACCACCCTGGGCACAGGGGACCCTGGGTGGCTTCAGGGATGAACCGCAAACCACAAATCTCAAGGACGGTATTCTGGGGGTAGAGGCTGCCATGCCGAGAAGCTGTGTGCCACGTGTGGCTGCCACGTGTGGCTGCCACGCACCGAGCCACATGCAGAGCTGGGGGGCTGTGTGTCTGTAGGTCTAGTCCTTCTTCTAGCTGCTCTGTGACAGCGGGGACAGAGTAAATGCAGGCGGCTGCCGTGCACCTGTGGCTAAAACCAGAGCCTCACCGTCCTCACCAGGCAACGGCACTAAGTCAGTAAGTGATTACAAATTTGCCCTTAAATATACTGCTTCTGTGCCTTTTAAATAATGAAACTCAGTTAAGACTGCACTGAAAAGGTCTTTCATCCTCCAAACATTCAAACATGCTGAGCTGTTTTAGAGACAGGTTAGCAGCTGCCTACGACAGGCTCCTGGCCATGACAGACCAGGAGGGAGGCGGGTTTGGGAGCCGCTGGGTTCTGTGCCCAGGAACGAGGCTGGCCACACCTCCACAACCAAGGGGCCACCAGACGCCCACGTCTGAGACCCGCGATCCACTTACCAGGGGTACACAGTGTAGTCGATCTCCCGGGACGGTGGCCGGCTCACGGGCGGCTGTGGCAGAGCACACGGGTGTTAGCGTCTCCCGGGGCCGACCACAAAGCCCGGCCCTGGCTGCTCTGGGCGGGGACCCTCTGTGCCCTCATCACCAGTGCCCTGGACCGTGGGGTCCCCAGGGGCCACGGCCCGGCCTCCCTCATCCAAGAGACGCCCGGCTTTGACTGAGCAATGTCTGAGTGGCGACCACCCAGCCGCGCACATAATCCTTGGGAGGGGGAGGACAGAGGCTGCCGGAAACCCCCAGCAGCGGACACGGGCACACCCGAGGCTGCGCCCTCTGCTCCCGCAGCCCCAGGCAGAGCGCAGGGCGGGGCGCCACACGCAGTCAGGCAGGCGCTGACACTCTGTGAGGGGGGCCTCCCTGGTCAGAGCCCCCACTGTGGCCTCCCTGGTCACAGCCTGGGCAGGGCCTCCGAGACCACCTATCCCATCATCCCGTCCACCTGCAAGTGGGGACACTGAGGGACGTGCCCCAGGGAGAGTTGGTGGCACTAGCCCTCCCCTGCTGTCTGGTTCCCTTGGTCGTCCAAAGCGCCTGAGTGCATAACCCCCGCCCCCAGCAGAGCAGCGGGGAGTGGACGGGCCGGGCCGGCCCCGTGGGGAGCTGCAGCTCGGGGTGGTGTTGGGAACCTGCCACCTGCGCATTCTCTCAAGCCGGCTTGTTTGGGGTGTGACGCAGGTTATTCAAGGCTGAGCGCCTGCCGTCTTCGTGATAGAGCCAGGGCGTCCCCACGCTCCTCCGATGAAAGAAAGGCCACACCGCCTTTTGCCCAAACATGGGGAAGGCCAGCCTTGAATGCTGGTGCTGGGGGAGCTTTCTCCCCACTAGGGCCATGCAATAGTCCGAGAGTGCAGGGCTTGGAGTCCCTGAAGTCTGGGGAAAGGCAGCCACTGCAGCTGGGGCAGACTTTAGCGTTTTTAGACCACAAAGGAACACTCCAGGAGGCTGGGCCCTTTAAACAGGGGGCGCGTCTGGCCCTCGGCCCCCACCCTGGGCTGCCGCCTAAACCCAACACGGATATCCTAACAAGCCAGGCCATCCAAGTGAGGAGACAGCGCCGGACCCTCAGCACCCGGGCCAGCAGCCTTCCAGAAGCTTCCGTGGGAAGGGACTCACCCGTCCATCCACAGGGCAGGGCTTCACAGAGGAGCTGGGGAAGTACCCTGACTTCCTGGTTTGCACCAGCCGGCCCTGGAAGAGGAGGGGACGTCAGGAAAAGCACTGGGGCTGGACGTGGGAGTGGGGCCATCTGAGGTGCCAGCGCCAACCCCGTTCCCAACACGGCTGTTACAGCCGACACATCACTGCCCTCAGCTGACCCGGTCACTGCTCTGGGCAGGGAGCTGACGCGGTGTCCCCCTTTATAGACGAGAACACTGAGGCCCAGCCCATCAGCACAGCACCGGGTGGCGCTGCTCTCACCTGGGGCGGGGGACGGGGCAGGCGGAGACTTTGCACGGCACAGTCCCCTCCTGCGCTTGCCGAGTCTCCAATCGTGTGTGCGCATGCGTGTGTGTGTATGTGTGTATGCGTGCGTGTGCACGTGCGCACGTGGTCCGGCGCGACACACTCGTGACTGAACGTGTACTCATAATGACCATGGCATAACAGCCACGGCCGCGAGAGTCCTAACACGGACACTGAGCAACGCTCGGCTCCAACGTCAGCCCCCAGGAGGGAGCCCGGCTGGCGAGGTGCCCCTGAGCCGCCAGGGCTCGGCGGAGGTGCCCAGGAGTGGCGGGCGCTAGGGGGCAGGTCCACCGCCGCAAAGGGCTCTGCTTCTGTGGGCCTCGTAAATGGAATACGGAACTCCCGGCTTGGACCTGTAAACTGCACTACATCGATGTCATCTGTGCCCACGTCTGTCGCCCTCCCCCAGATGTAGCCCCTGGGGGCAGGCAGTGACAGTGCCTGGTGGCCCCACGGTCGTGCACAAGGCTGCCTGAACTGAGAGGGGGAAGGGTGGGCGTGACGCGGCTGGAGCAGAGCCCTGGGACACAGCCGAGGCCGGAGGACGAGGCGGATGGGGAAGGGCCTTGACGCGGGCAGGAGGTGCCCTCCCGTGAAGGGACGCTGCACTGCCTGCCACACAAGGCTCCCCAGGGATGACCAGGCGAGGGCTGGACCCACATCCATGCCACGGCGCAGGGAGCAAAGGCCTCGCGGAGCCCCCTCCTTCTCTTCACCCCCAACCTGCCTCTGCCCAGGGAGGGAGAGGAGCCCCACCCTCCCGGGCCAGGGCCCAGGACCCACCTCCCACCACTGGGACTCGGGGTCTCCTCTCAGCAGCTCGATCACGTCCCCCGTCTGGAAGGTCAGCACAGGCTTCCCGGGAGGAGCCGGGTTGCCATGGTAATTCTGCACAGCCACCATCTTGGGACCTGCGGGGACAGGGCGGGGTGGGGGGAGCTCACTCAGTGACTTGGTCCCGGCTGGCAGCCACCCATCAGCAAACTCGGCCTCCGTCCGGGGGAGCTCTTTAGCGAGACACCCCCTAGCACACTCAAGCCCGAACCATCCCTAAGTTCCTCCCATAAGGTGCCCGCGCCTTTTTGACAAATGTCATAAGTAAATGCATGTGACAAACAGATTCAGGGTGTCACTGTGGTCACAGCAGCTTACTTCCGGAGGGCACATCACATGCTGTCTTCTAAACACCTGCCTAGCCTGGGACCCGTGGAGCAGGGGACGGGGGACCCCGCGTGTCAGAGACAGGCTGACAGGGCCGCACGGCTGGTTAAAGACCACTCAGGGCCTGCAACGGGGTCCTGGCCGAGCCCCCAGAGGACCTGCAGCGGCAGGTCTGGCTCCACCCCCGCCCTGCCGGTGGCGCTCAAAGAGCCGGGTATCCCCACACCAGACTCCCGCCAGCAGTAGCAGCAGCGGGCTTTGTTCTTCCCTGGCGAGGCTCGGATTTTATCCAGCCTGCCCGGACTGCACTGAGGTTTCACAGACCACGACGCCTTCCATCCTCAGAATGGAATAGCCGCGTTCCCACCGTGGGACCCAAAGCAAGGGGAGGAAATGGCTGCATGACAGCGATGCGCGCTGACGCCTGCTCAGGGGCTTTGGGCCGCAGCCAGGTGCCACTCCCTGGGGTGGAGGACCCTGACCGCATGCAGGCTGGGCCCTGTCCCCACGGCCCCGCACAGCAGACGCTCTCAGGGAGGTGGCCATGGAGGCGGGAGAGGTAGGAGGGAGCGGCCGCAAGGCGGGACACGTTCTGGGAGCCAGGAGCGGAGGACGGCGGAGCAGAGCCCGCAGCACCAGGCCAAGCCCAGGTCCGGCTCCCAGGGGACTGCTGACGTGGGCGCAGCAGGGGCCAAGTCCAGCACGCTCACCTGGTCCCGCTCCAGAGGCATCCTGTGAGGACAAGGACAGAGCACGGTGATGAGGGACGGCTGCCCCCTGACCTCCGACCCCAGCATTGGCCCTCCCTGCCCCCACGCACTCCCAGCTAGAGGTCAAGGCAGGGAGCTGGGGGGCTCTGCTTCCCTGTGCGACACCCCCTCCCCAGTATCCTCAGGGACACCTTCCACCTCTGCGCAGCTCCCCTCCCAGGAGGACACACGGCCTCCCTCTCCTCCAGGATGCCTGCCCTGACCACCCCCGAGCCTGGGGCTTGTGGTCTCTGTCTGGGTCTCTCCTCCAGAGGCATCTCTGCGCCCCACGCGGGGCCTGGCAAGTGCCCCTTATATGCTGGTTCATTTGGACCCTGCAGCTCGGGGAGACGTAAAGTCCCTATAAGCGAATTCAGTGACTTCATCCCCACGTCAGCCAAACCGAGGGCTTGGAGCCACACGGGGACTTGGGGGTAGGGGGTGGCACATGCCCAGAGCTGCACCCACAGTTGCAAGCAGGACTGGTTGGGGGGCGGGCAGCTGGGACAAGAAGACACCACCGGGGCCCAGGACGTCCACGAAGGAAAACAGAGGCCTCTTGTGACCCGCAGCGGCTCGTCCAAACCAGCGCGTGAGGGTTGAGAGCTGAACACTGATCTTTCTGGCTCCGGGCACACACGCGTGGGGGGAAGGGGTGGGACAGAGGGAGGGGCAGTTTGGGGGACTTACCAGGTCTGCCGGAGAACCTGGAAAGGAAGTGAGGCAGGTGTGAGGGGAGCCGCGGCGCCAGGCCCCATGGCGGCTGTCACTCACGCTGACGGGAGCGCCTGGGCCGAGCCTGATTGTGAACGAGCCAGGTGTCCAGGCCGTTACTGGGGACGTGGATTACGGACATGCAGACCTGAGCTCACGCTGAGTCTCTCGATTACCTCTGACAGTACATTCTGAGCTCTGCATTTAGGGGCCCACAGGGGAGCTCAGGGGGGTGGCAGCCCCGAGATGGCAAACAGTTGTCCCTGCCTGGGCCAGCGGTGTGGGGGGCAGCAGCTGCCTCATCACCAGGTGGCACATGGGGCTCACGGGGCAGATAGATGTCCACAATTGATTAGTGATGTCTGCCGGGGCAAGGGACGGGGAGGAGTGGTGCACATGCCACCTGTCTGCTGTCCTTGCCTTGGACACAGGCGCCCACACGCCCAAGGACTCAGGGCACCTCTGCTGGTCGGACGGAAGGCAAACGCTCCAAAGATTCCATCTGCTGAGCGGGCCTGCCACCCCACCGCCAGACAAAGCAAGAACTACAACGGCCAGCACATGTGGCAGATGTGACCTAATGCCACCTAACACACACGGGTGCACGCTGTTCTGTGCCAACATATGCACCCAACGGACATGGGGCACAGAGGCTGCAGCTCTGTGGATGTGGGGACAGAGAGGCAGGCTATGCGGCTGGGTCACCTGTGAGTGGGCACGGCCAGGGACACAGGCAGGTACTCACTGGTCTTGCAGGGAGGCATTGCCTCCAGGCACTCCTTGTGCGCCCCGACGCCGCACTTGGTGCACAGGTAACCCTGGTAGAAGGTGCCCCTGCACGGGGGAGGGCGGCAGGAGGTGAGGCTGCATCCTGCTCTTCGGCCAAGGTCAGGGTCCCTGTCCCCACCCCTAGTCCCCTCTGGCTGTCTGCCCTGCAGGTCTTTCCCCACTGGGACGTCCTCCAGGCTGGCTCTCCACTGCTCACAGTGTCCCTGGGCACTCAGGGACAGTCGTCTCCTGGCTAGATCTGAAACCCCAAGGGCCCTGCTGGGCCTGATGCTAGGGGGACACACTCCAGCCCCTTGGGGCCTCGTATGGGGCCCAGAGTGGGGAAAGAGGGACGAGGTCCTGGGATGGATGTGGCGCTGAGCTCTGGGGGGTCTCGCACCTGAGGAACATTTTGCAGGCTTTGCAGTTGGTGGTCTTGTCAAACGTGTACATCTGGAAGCTGTGGTGGTTGGCGTTGGCCTTGTCTGGCTTGATGTTTGACCTGGCCAGGCAAAGAGCAGGAGCTGCGTTTGCACACTCCTGAGCCCCACGGATGTGGTCACCACCCCGGGAACCAGCCGGACTCGGAACCCGGCTGTGCAGTAGGGACCTGGACGCCAAGCCTGGCTCTGCCCCCCACACCCGGCAGACTCAGGGCCCGGACTCCCCGCAGGCAGGAGAGCCAGGGTGGGAGCCTTAACATTAAGCCGGGTGGGCACAAGAGAACCTTCTAGTGAGGGTAACAGTCTAACGTCTTGACAGGGCTGGGCGTGGGTGGGTACAGGCGTTGGCCGGAACTCAGCGATTGTAAACTTAAGGTTTGTGCACTTCACTGTACATGAGCTCGACATTTCAAATGCTAAGCAGATACCGGCTCTAGCTCCTGATGGGCCCCCTGGGTACTGGTGGGCCACCCCGATGTCTGCGGCTCACTCTGACACAGACGCGTTGTCAGACAGCCGAGGCCACGTGGGCGACACTGACCAGCAATAGCGCGAGACGCAAACGGGCCCGCGGTGAGGTGGTGGGTGTTCACCACGACATTCTCTCAACTTCCGCAACAGAATGTTCGGGAGCAAGAAACTGAGGGCCCCGGTGCTGCCCACACAGCCTGGGAACAGACCAGCTGGCTGCCACCGACCCAGTGCCAGGCCCCAGCCTGCTGCATCCCGAGGATCCTGTTTGACCCTCCCCAAGAAGGGCTGGGCCCTCTTCACGCCTCCTTCCACCAGGAGGAAAGGCCAGGCAGGGAGCCCACCTGCCAGAGGCCTCTGGCCCACCTGCCTACAGCGCCCAGGCGCAAGCCCCTGTGCCGGCCGCTCTGGCCTCCGGGCCTGGTGTGCCCAGGGAGCCCATCCTTTCTCTGTTTTACGTGGGAAGGCAGTGTGTCCTCCATTTCCTGGAAAACCAGTTCTGTGGCTTTCAAAAAGAGGTGACGCGCCACCAGCCTGCAAGGCCCTAAAGATCAGGGTCACAGGAGTCCTCTGGCATCACGGCCCCCCCGGCCTGTCAATGCTCTGCTGGTCAGGTGTGTGGGGCTCAGCCTCCAGGAAGGCCAAGCCCATTCCAGCAGGGGACGGGGCCCGCCTGGGACAGGCTGCAGCAGATGAGGGTCCTCTGCTCCAGGTGGACTGTGAGGCAGCTCGGATGCCAGACGCGGGCAGGCAGGCTGGAGTCCGGGGCTGCTGGCGCCCGTCTCTGCCTCTGGCATTCCAACTCCGCCTCCCGCCACCCCTGCGCCAGGAGGGTCAGCAGAGCGAATCCAGCCAGGCTTCCAACCCCCCACACCGCACATTTGGGGGGACCGGGGTCTGCGTCTCGGCACTCACATGGCCATCTCAAACTGCTCCATCCACTTCCTCTTCATGTCTTCCGTCTTGCAGAAGAACTGGAAGCCCTGCTTTCCTTGAAGGTGAATCAGGTAGAAGCCATAGGACCACTGCAGGGGGACAGGGACACGCTGGCAACTGGGACAGCTTTGGGCACACTGGCATGTGCACACATGCATGCTTCCCTGTGCTGTGTGTGCACACACGTGTGCGTGTGCATATGCACACAGGCACAGGTGCCTTGCCTGTGTGAATACATGTTCTCACGTGCATGCACATACGTCTTACTGGCACCGTATGCGCACACATATATGCAAGTGCATGCACACGTGTGCCTGTGCTCACACCCTCTCCCGTGTGAGTATATGCACTTGCACATGCATGCCAGTGTGTTCTCATGTGTGCACGTACGTGTATATGTACTTGCGCCTGCACGCATGACTACGTATGTGTGCCCGTGACTGTGTCTGAGTGTGTACACTGCTCTCATGCCTGCACACACTTGTGTTTGGTCCTGCATGTGCACCTGTGCCTCTGTCCACGTGCTCTCGCATGTGCACATGTATATACATGGGGATATCTGCACTGCTTCCAGTGCCTGTGTGCAAGGGTGCTCTGCTGTGTGTAAACGTACATGTGTGTGTAAGTGGGGGCAGGTCCCCAGGGAGCGGGTGCTCCGGAACTTGCCCAGGGCCCTGCCACAGTCCAGCTCGCCACTTTTGCTTCCTAAACGAGATGCTAAAGACGCTCCTCTGAGGTAAACAACACAACAGAAAGGCAGGAGATGGCCCTGGGCAGGCGCCCTGTCACTGCCCGCAGCTGCCCTCCCCCTGCCCTGCTTCCCCTGCCAGAGCGGGCCTGGCCCTCTCTCGGGGAGAGGCTCTCAGGGGCCAGGAAGGGTTTGGAAAGTCTGAGCCCACTGGGTTAGAAAAGACGGAGGGGGAGAGGGAGGAGGCAGGGAGGAGGGAGAGGGACGGAGGGAGGAGGGAGAGGGAAGGCAGGGGCGGGAGGCCAGAAAGAACACAGAAAAGCAAAGAGGCTGACGGGCTGGAGAGGTCAAGGAACCCCGACAGGCTCTTGGTCAACCTCTGCCCCTCGACCTCCAGGGACTGGGGGTGGATGGGGCTTCGTTTCCCACTTTCTGTAATGGGCAAATTTTTAACCATGGTTACACATCATTTCATAACTAAGAGACCGAGGAGAGTGACCTAGAGCCATCTTTGAAGGAAGAAAAGAAAGAACTGAGGGGAGGGAGAGGGGAGAAAACTGGCCGCGTGGGGCGGCAAGGTCAGGCCAGGCAGCAGGGCCTGGCGCGGTGCTTACCATTTTCCCGTGAGCCTGGGCGGCATGAGCAGGGGAGGAAGGGGAGAGAGGTCAGCGAGAGGCCTGGCCCCGCGGGATGCTGGCTGTGCCACGTGGGGCGCCCACGAGAGGGCGATCCTCCCGGAGGGGCAGCTTCTAGCGGCTGAGACCCAGGAGGCCACGTTCTCAGGCCACTGCCTCTTGGCCCCATTACTTGTTTTGGACATCAGGCCCCTACAGCTCCCCAGGTCCTGCACGAGGGGCCTGCACCCTGCACTGCATACTCCAAACCTGGAGTTCTAGCGTGTGGGCTCCTGGACCCCACACCCAGCCAGGACCACGCAGTAGCCGCTCAGCGCCCAGTGCAGGAGCCTTGGCAGGACAAGACTGAACCAGAGAGGGAGGCAGCGCGCCCCTGCAGCCGTGGCCAAACCCCTGCACCCATGGCCCCGCCCCTACAGCTATGAGCCCCGCCCCACCCCCACAGCTATGGGCCCAGCCCCTGCACATCAGAGCTTTTGACAGGCCACAGCCAGGCCCACCCACAGCCCTCTTCCAAACAGGGCAGAGACGGAGAGGGGAGAGGAAGGCCCCTGGCTACCAGGGACAGCATGGGCTGGAGTCAGGCTGGTCAAGGTCGAAAGGCCCACTCTCATTACAGGCCTTACACGGGGCCTCTCCCTTCTCTGCCTCAGTCTCCCCACTGGGGAGCCGGGATCCTGATCGTGCCGACCCCCGGGGAGAACTGGCCCGGCACAGGGCAGCCAGCATGAGCAGCAGCCACAATGACAAGGTGACACCTGGGGGAGGCCTTCTGCCCGCCCCCGCCCACCGGTCAGTGCATGTCAACTCATTTCACCCAGCGCCCTTCCCCAAGGCCACCCAGCTGCCCCTGGCCGGCGCGTCTGCAGGGCCCACCTTCTTGATGTCCTTGTTGTTCATGGGGTCGTCTGTCATCTTGTGGAAGAGCAGCTCGATGATCTCCTTCAGCTCGTAGCTGTAGCCCCTCCGTTTGCAGACGATGACCACCTTGTCAAACAGGAACAGGTACCTGGCCAGCCGGTGCGACCAGGGCCCGTCAGCTCACCAGCGCGTGCTGCTCGGAGGCGCAGGACAGCCAGCGTGCGCCTGCCGCCCCGCAACAGGCTGGGCCTCGGAGCCTGCGCACACGCCGCCCGCTCCCGAGGGCGAGCCCCGGCCCTGCCTGGCCTGCCCGCTAACTTCGCTAACTTCGGTCAGTCTGGCTGCCTGTGTTGCTCCCCCAGGAAGCCTTCCCGGCCCCCACCCGTGACAGGCGGGTCCGCAGCCTTTCAAAGGGGCGTCTCCCGGACATAGGCTGTCCTCACAGCACTGGCCACCAAGGGTCACAACCAGGTCACATCTCCACCCCCCACTAGACCGGGGCCCCCGAGAAGGCAGGACCTGTGTCTGCCGTGGCCCCAGCCCCAGCCTTCGCGCACGGAGGTGCACACGGAGGACATGGAGCAAGCAAGGACCGTGCCGGCGTGTCCCAGCCTCCTGGACACCTGCCCACACTCTCCCCGCAGACCTCGGCACAGAGCTCAGCCGCCCACTCTGCGTCTGTCGTGGCCCCTGCAGACTGAGAGATTGCAGGGGCCGGCCCTGCTCTCGCTGCCCCCGCCCAGCGCCCGCCACAGGCAGGGCAGCCCCACCCCGTGGCAGCCGCTCACTGACGCAGCTCCCTGACGCTCTCAAAGAAAGGAAGGAAGCGATTAAAACTGAACAACACAAAGCCACCGGGCCGGCCGCTCCTTCCCCAGGAAGGCCCTGTTTCCAGAACCACTTAGGAGCAGGGCTCCTGGGAACACAGTGCCAGATTGCCACGGGACGCCAGCCGGCCCCGCGGCCACTGATCCCCACTCTGCTCACCTGTCTTGCTTTGTGTGGTTGACTATGGACCTCACTTTGAGCTCCCCATCGATCTTTGGCCTTCCGAATTCCTCCAGTTTCACTTGCTGGAAAACACGGGGAGAGGCCGTCAGCACGGCTCTCCGTCCTCCCAGCACGGAGCGAGGGCAGGTGTGCGCATGCCCGCTGCGGTCCCCACAGAAACCAGAGGGGGACAAAGGGAAATGAACCCAGTGGTCCCCAGCTGGTGTGTAGACTGGGGGTGCAGAAGCTGCAGGAGGAACGGGCCCTGGGGCCTCAGACCCCTTCCTGGCCATCCCGCCAAGGACGCCCTGCAGCTCTGGGAACAAAGAGACCAACGGCGCAGTTATGTTCACGGGTTGTTGCCGCGTGGAGCCCGGAGCAGGACCTGCAGGAAAAGCCAGGCGGCCAGCCGCAAGCACCACGTTAGACAGAACGAACGGCGCTGATTGCACAGAGGGCGGGCGGGCGGGGGCCTGCGGCAGTCTGTCTTCCACGGGGAGAGGCTTCGAGTCAGTCCCACTCGCTTGTTGAGTCTGCTGAGATTTTGTTTTCTCCTCTATTCGGTTTGTATCTCCGCTGCTCTCCCAATGCACAGAGAGCTTCTCCCTGGGCACGGTCCCCCAAAGGAAGCGTCTACATAGACGTGCGGTGGAGGGACGCACTCCGAAACATCACAGCGCTGAGGGACGGTCTCGCTGAGGGCGGCGCCCACGGGCAGCTCTTGGTGTCACACGCAGCGGAGCGCGCACCTGCTGGCCCTCGACTCGGGCCTCCGTTTCCCACCTCTAAGGTGCGGATCGCGAGAGCACCACCTCGCCTGCGCTGGGGTTCGCGGGCAGCGCCAGGGCCTGGCTCGCAGGGCTGCCCCACCCCTGCTGACGGCTGCTGCCTTATTCTGGTTATTGAATGGACACGTACCACTCGCGTGTAAAAACGTAAAAAACAAAACCAACTGCTTTCCTCGTGTTCCAGAATCAAAGCACGCCAGCTGCGCAGCATTCAGAGATGCCGCGTGCCGGAGCACCGGGGCACACCGGGCTGCGACGGGCACTGATGGCGCGGGCACAGCCACCCTCGACCTCTGCACTCAGATGTTTCTATCTCTTTCTAAAACGAAGAAAAAGGGGCAGAAACGTAATGCTGTTCGGTCACTTCTCTTCTTGTTTGCGCTGACGACACGTCGTGGACGTTTTCCGTGTGTGCGGGGAGCACTCTCTGGGCTCTTCGGGCCCTGGGCACCAGAGCTGGCCCGGGCCTCTGGGGCCTTCCTCTGCCAAAGCTTCCGTGCCAGTGAAACTCACTGGGGTGAAGATGTTGGCGTAAAAACCAGTGGTTCCCAGCCAGGCGGCTCTGCACCCAGGGGACATCCTGCAGCGTCTACAGACACAGTTGGTTGTCATCACTCGGTGGGGCTGGGGGCGGGTGCGAGGGGCACCTGCTGGATGAGGCCAGGGGAGCCGTGCGGCATCCGTGGTGCACAGACGGGTCCCACGACCACGAATGATCCGGCCCAGACGTCCAGAGCGTGAGGTGGAGAAACGCGGGTTGATCACCAGCCAATCCCAGAGAAGCCGGCACTGGCTGGCACGGCCCGCAGAACACGAGCATCCCGCCGTGGCCCACCTCCTCTCCCCAGGTAGGACGTGATGGCCTCGGATGGAACAGGCTGGGACAGGGTCCCCTGAGGCATCACCCTGCCTGATCAGGTCCGAGGCGCAGGGTGACCGCAGGCCCCGCCCTCCCTGGGACCGAACCCCTGCACCGCTTCCTGCAGGCTGCCTGGTGAGGGTGGGCTGGGCTCTCCTCCTGGACCTGTAACAACGGGCCGGGAAGTCAACACCATGCCCCGGCCCGGCCCTGGGCAGAGGGCCGTCCTCCGCACACTGGGCACCAGGGCTGGCTGACGGCGGGCGCAGCAGAGTGAACACCAGACGCCCCAGGTGAGATTCGGAAGCCACCGGCACCACCCTCTGGCCGTGGACACAGGGCGCGTTGGCACTGTGATACCATACGCACGCCGTCTTGGTCACCCTGTCCTGGCCCGAAGTCGGCTGCACTCACCAAGTTTTCTATAGAACTCTGAAATTCGCTGATTTTCTTTAAGGTCTCCTTGTCCCGTTTAACTTCATTGATGTACATCGCCAAGTCCTGGAACAACAGAACCGGGGTCAGGGGCGCTGGCAGTGTGAGGGGCTCAGCCCCGGCCCCCACGTCCAGGCGCAGGGCGTCCTGCAGGTGGCTGCCTCGAGACAAGGTGAGCCTCACCCGACAGACAAGACCGGGGCAGGGAGGGAACACACCGCCCGAAAGCTGCTGGCCTCGGGGACACGGCCAGGCCCCACACTCCCAGCTAGGGCGGCTTCATTCCGCCCCACCACGTAATCAGAAGAGAAGCCACATCAGGCCACGAAGAGCCAACTGGACAGGACCGACCCACGTCTCCACTCTTGGGAAGCCTCCGTGCCCCACTGAGCACCACCTCCCCTCGGGGTCTGGGCAGGGCGAGGGCTCGGAAGTCCCTCTGCTCGGGTCTGCGCGTCCCCACTGGGCGCCCGTCACCCTGCTGCAACCTCCCTGCCGGCCGCCAGAGAGCAGCGCCCACTTGAGAAAGTCTGCGGAGTCTGGGAAAGGCACCAGGGCCACGCAGGCGGCCGACCCGGCCCACCAGGGGCTGCAGGGCGGAAATCCCGTCCCGGTGGGGAGGGGCCGCACTGTCTCCATCCGCAGCTGCCCTCCGGTCCAGGGCTGGGGAGTAGGACACTCCTGCCCCGTTCCTGGCCCAGGGAGACCTCACTGTCCGCACCCCCGGCCTCCACTCCCGGCAGGGCCAAGCCTCCCTGAGGGAAGGGTGCTGCTTCTCGTCTATTTGCCTTTAAAATGAGAAAACAGGTTGCCAGAGACAAAGAACCCGACGGCAGGGGCAGGATCTGAGCTCCTGAGGCAGAACCCATGACAAGTCCAACCACGCTGGCCTCGGCACACCCCTGGCGTGGGACAGAGCGAATGGATGCTGGCGGGACGGATGAGCGGGCGAGAGGAGCATCTGCTCTGATACACACGCGGGATTATCATCAGTTTACGGAGCTCAGACCTGTGACTGCAGCTCCCACGGGGACAAATTTCGGGTCTGCAGAGGCAGAGCGGCCACCTGAGACACGCCTTCTGAGGAGTGAGCTCTCAGTCCCCAGGGGAAATCAAGCTCAACTACACTGACGGCTCTCATGGTGGCGTGGGAAGATGTCCCGGCACGCTGGGAGTGGGGGGGAGACTGGCAACTCCCCAACCCTCGAGTCTCGTGCTGCGGTTCGCCGGCTCTCCGGGCGGGGAGGGTAGGCCGGGGTCTTTGTGGGGCACCATCAGCTACACTCTCCAGAGCCCCCGAGCCGCCCGCTGGCAAGAACCCCAGCACTGGGCATGCAGAACACAGGCCACGCTCAGGGGCTCCGGGCCACAGCCCACTACACCTGCTGTCCCCGTCTGGCAGCCCCCGACAAGGGACCGTCGCTGGCTCACGCACCGTGGGGCTCACGGCAGACAAGCCGGGCAGGTGCTGGGGGGACACGTGGATTCGGGGCAGCACAGCCTGAGCTGAGAAAGTCCCCGTCAGCCTGTCACGGCAGGAGGCATTGCTCCCCTGGGACTCTCCCCCGGGTGCTGCCAGGGGACCCGAGCAGCAGGGTGTCAAAGGTCTCTGATATCACCGCCCACACCCACGCACAAGGGCACGTGACTGGGGTAAATTGCTCCCCGACCACGAGGCCTGCTCAGAGAAATCGCATAGACGGCCGAGCGGCAGGTCCTACTCCCCCCATCCCCGGGACCCAGTGGCAGCTGCGAGTGGAGACAGATTACAGTCCCTCCCCAACCAGGAAGGAGCCCCTTAAAGAGGTACTTGGGGAGGGGAAGAGGCCCAAAGCCCAGGTGGCTGCTGGGGGCAGAGGTCAGGGCTGCAGCCCTGCGGAGGAGCTGGTAGACGTCATCCTCCCACGCACTGGGCACTGTGCCCAGCCTGGGGACACAGGTCACCACGACCGGCACAGTGGCTAGAGAGGGTGACATGAACAATTCTGCCCAGCGGTCTAGGGTGAGAGTCCCTGGTCCAGGGCCCAGGGAGGGGCATCCTCGCGGGGAAATGTCCGGCTCATTGCAAAGGCCGAGGACGCGCAGAACGCAGCTGGCGGCAGGAGGAAGGGCGGCCTGAGCGGACACCCAGCGGTGGGAAAGTGGACGGAACGTTCCGGAACCCGGAGCTCAAGCTTGCCTGGAACGGGGCACTCGCGGCAAACTCGCTGTGAGGTCGGGAGCAAGTACCGTAAAAGGCCTCGAGTGCCAGGGCAAGAAGCCAATGCCTGGTTCGGGGCAGCAAGAGTCCCAGAAGTTTCCTGAGCAGGGGAGGGACACAAGCGGAGCTTGGCGGGGGGCGGGGCTGGCCCTGAGATAGGAGCAAAGGAGTCTCGGGCAGGTGGCACAAGGAGGGGCAGGGGTGGCATTTCAGAAGCAGAGCCTAAGGGCTATGGGCCCGGAGAGCCGGGGAAGCAGGGGAGGAGGCTCCCGGAAGTCCTCGCTGGCCAGGGGAGGCTGGGGGGAGATGCCGGGGAGCACCCGGCCCGCAGTCCCTGCACCGCCCCCCGCACCTCCCACCGCTCACCCATCGTCTGCCCCGACACCTGCCATCCAGGGAAAGGTCTAGGTCACAAGCGCGGCTCATTAAGGATCCCCATTCGAGTCCAAGTACGCAGGCATGGTGTGCCTGGCCCCACGCTGGCCTGGTCGCTCCCTGCCTCAGTTTACCCACCCACCTGCATGGCTTCCAGTGCTTCTTTGAGCTGCTGCCTCTCGGGCCGGTCAGTAGAATGGCTCAGAAGTTCCTGGCAGGGTGAGAGGGGCGTCGGTGTGACCCCTCGGGGATCCCGGCCCCTGCCCTTGCCCCCGCCTGGCACGGGGTGTGTGCATAGAGCGACCCAGTGCTCAGGACCAAGACATCCCACCCACGGCCCAGGCACTCGTTCAGCTGCCCAACTCCAAAGGCCAGAGAATGCTGACCCCCTACACAGCAGACACCCCACTTAGCAGGGACGCTCCCAAATCTTGTGGATAATGGGGGCGGGGGGCGTGCCATGGGAAGGGAATCTACGGCAGCCCCAGCCGGGCGCTGTGCTGGCAGGTCACGATGAGTCACAAAGAGCCTCGCAGAAACCAGGGTCTCCCTCCCAGGCCTGTCTCTCCTGACGTCCTTCCTATTTCCATCTCCACTGTGGCTACCAGGAAGCTCAGAGAGACTTGATTAACTGACTAACCAACCACAGCTCTCTCATTCCTGGTCTGAGAATGCTTTTCTGTCTCTTTCAGTTTCTCAGACTTGTTACTGACCTTCATCATCATTTTCCTCTATTTACTGTGGTAATGATCACGTGTATTGGGCGTGACTATAAGCTAAGTACAAACTTATTTCATCTGTTTACATTCAACTCGATCCGTCTGGGGGCCACGGCCCCTGCCCGGGAGGCTGCGCGCGACGCTGGCGGGACGGCCGTGCAGGGGCCGAGCCGGGGCCTCACCTTCAGGAGGAGGTGGTACTTGAGCACCCTCTGCATGGGCACCACCAGCAGGTCTTGCAGCTTGAATTTTCCCTCCTGGACCTTCAGTGTGCACTCCTGGGGGCGACCAGGTGGTGAGGCGCGCCCTCCCCGGGGAGCGCCTGCCCACACGCCCGCCCCCGGGCCTGGCGGAGAGCCGTAAGCCCCGAACTTGGCCCAATGTCTGGTCTTTCTCTGGCCAGGCTCCCAGCACTGGTCCACCGAGCGGGTGTGTGCAGGGAGGGGAAGGGTCACAGCAGGGGGGCGGGACAGGCCGCCCCTCCCACCTTGCGGGGTCTGCACTGCTCCGGCCAGACGCAGCCAGACACTGGGATTCTAAAGGACCCCCAGGGTGGCGCCCACTGGGCCTGTCTGGATGTGGCTGTGTCTTCCTCTGGGTCAGGTCCTTCGGAGAAGGGCAGTGGCCTCCCCCAGCCGCCCCCCTCTCCCACCTGCCCTCCGGGAGAACAAGGCCGGGAGCTTATGCCGAGCTGTGGGGTTGCGCTCAGGAACCAGGGACCCCAAGGGTTGCCACGGACGCGTCGAGAATCTCCTGGGGAACATCCTGCCCACCCCTGCCTGAGCACCAGGCTCCACTCTGGGGACAAGGTCTCACTGAGCAGGCAAAGCACAGAAACTGCAGCTGGGGACAGGGGCCCTGGGGAGGGACTCCTGTGAGAACCAGACTAGTGGCCTGGGCCTGGGGTGAGGATTTGGGAGGTGGCCCACAGCTCCCAGCAGATGTCACCAGGGCCCCCTGGGTCAGCAGAGGCCAGGGTCGGCAGTGGGTCACAGCACTTCGCTGGTTCGGATTTGGTCCGGATGCCGGTCCTCCGCGGCACCCTGGGGACTCAGGCTGCGTCCCCACCCAAGACAGTGACCTCGGCCCGGCCCACTCCCCCCCAAACAGAACGCAAAGAAAAAAACTCTCCAAGAAACAATCACATCACCACCCCCATCCCCACCTCCCCGGAAAGTGGGCACAAGAGAGGTTGGTGCCACACGCTCCGGCCAGCGAGCCACACCCTCGGCGCTGGGAAGCCCCTTACCTCGACCTTCTGCCTGAAGTCCTCCCGGCTGGCCAGCAGCTGGTTCAGCGTGTTCTGGGCGTGCTCCATGTGGCTGCAGTACTCCCCGTAGATCAGGAGCCTGGAGGGCGCACACGCGCACGCGGTCAGTAAGGCCCTCACGGCTGCAGGGGGCCCGTGTGTGTCTGTCACGGGTGACGGGTCTCTCCCCTGACAGCTCCTCGCCCGTGAACACGTCTCACGGTTTAGTTCTTCCCACGTGGCTGCCTGCGGCTCCTTCTCCCGCTTCCTGAAGTGCCGCCAGGCCAAGGGGGCTGCCAGAGGCTGGGAAAGGGGGCTCTGCTCTCCCCGAGCCCAGGAGGACCCCTCTGTGGTTCCATCTCAGGTCATGGCCGGGCTCAGGGGGAGTTCTCCAGCCCCCGTCCCAACCCTGGCCTCCCCAGGGCTGACGGGCCCCAGGAAGCCTCGGACTCCTGCCCCAGGCCCTGAGCACAGAGCCTGGCCTGGCCGTGGCTCCCCCTGCGACGTGCTAGGTTGGGGGTCATGTTAGTGGGTTGCTTCCACACGGCGCGGGGGTTCCACGAGCAGGTGGACATCAGCACTGAGCACCCCACTCCTCACCCAGAGGAGGGCGTGGCTATGCGGCCCCCAGGGTCCGGGGGAACAGCAGTCCAGGAGGAGGACCCTCACGCGCTGTCCCTCCCGCGGCCATCACTGTCTCTCCTGTCGCTGACTCTCATCTCGGTGCCTTGCACGCTCTCTTTGGTCACAACACCCTCTCACTTGTCCCCAGCTGGGCCCAAGAGCTGTCCCCAAGGGCTGACATCTCCACTAACCAGAATCCCGGGCTCCTGGCCTCTGGAACCTCAGGGCCTTGAGTTATCTAAAACTTCACCTTGAGAACCCTATCCTTGTCGTCCCACGACAGGGAAGCCCACAGGAGGAGACTGGAGCCAGCTGACGGCGTCAGGGCCACAGGATGAGAGAGCCGCCGCTCTCGGGGGCGACCGCCCCTGGGTGCTCCACTGACGGAGCTCTGACCCTGTGACCCGCTGGCAAAGGAGGGAGCGATTAGCCCCAGTCTGTCGGCAGAAAAACCGAGGCCTCAGTGAACTTGCTAGGGGTCACCAGTTAACAGGTGACAGTGTGGCCTGGAAGGCCCGTCCACGGTGTTCCAGTGGTACCCGCTTTGCGAGTGCCGTGTCCGCAAATGTCTGGAGTCCTCCCTGCTCCGGGAAGCTTGGGGCAGTCTCGGGACCAGTCGTGACGGGCCCGGGGCCGTTCTCTTTCCACCACAGCTGCTGCTGCCCCCGACGTGGGCGCCTGCACGGGGCTCGGGGTGGGCAGCTGGCCTGCAGCCAGCGTGGCTTCCGTGGACGCTGGCGCGCGGGGGCAGCGCCCTGGTGGCACGTTCCCAGTGCAGGGCCCAAGGGAAGCACAGCTCTGCCACGTGGGTCCTGGGAACGTCTCCTCTCCCTCCAGCCTTGGGGTTTGGGACCAGGCAACCCCCACTTTCTTCCCAACGTTGGAGTTCTGAGCTCATTAAGAACAAAGCAGTGGGCTGGGAGACACTGTCCCTCCAGGAACACGTCACTTCAGAGCCGGCTGAGACACGGGACAGACATCGCTGTCCTCATACACAGCCAGGGGCTCCTGAGGTCCCAAAACCTGCCTGGGCCTGCACGTTGGGCCCTGCGGCGGGCACGTTCTCAGGCCACCCTAAGATTCTTGCTGCACAGGCCTGCAAGGAAGCTTCTAGCACTGAGAGGCCGAGACTCTCACTCCAAGAAAAACACGGATCTGGTCCTGGAACCAGCACGGGTGCCCCCCTTCCAGCCACTGCAGTGTAGAGCACCCACGGCCAGGCCTCGTGTGGGCAGATGGGGACGTGGGGCCCTGGGCGTGGCACCTGCGTGGACGTGTCCCCACGCTGCGCAGGGCCACCTCCCTGTCTGGCGCCACGGCGCATGCTGACCAGGACCTGAGCCCTGAGTCTTGTTATTAAATCGAGAATTTTAATGTGAAAGTTGATTAAAGCCCCCATCTCTGGAAGCAATGAAAGGTTTCTTCCCCTTTTGAAAACTGAACAAAAGCCTCAGAAGCCCCGGCCACAGCAGGAGGGGAGGGGCACAGAGGGACGTCTGCGAGGCCACCGGCCAGTCTGGAGGATGAACCAGACACGACACTGGCTCCAGGGCCGGGGGGCTGAGCGTGGCTCCTCCAGCCGGCGAGAGCAGTCGGTGGTGCCGGAAGACACGCCGCACCCCGTGCATCACTCGGCACCTGGGCTGGACGCCCCAGGGCTGCAGCTGTCACCGGGCCACCAATGGGGACATGGAGGCTCAGCCAGGACTGGGGACTTGCCCAAGGCCCCAAGGCTCTCAATAGCCAAGAACAGACTCAGACGAGCTGTAACTGACCCCAAACCAGGTCCTGGGCCGCCCTGCGCCGTGCTGCCCTCTGAGGACGGCCCAGAACCACCACAGGGAACCACGGGGACCTGCCACCCTCAGGCCCCCAGCCTATCCCACGGCCCCTCAGGAAAGAGCCTCCCGGCCCATCCTGGGGACCAAGGTACGGAGGCTGGTGGGGGGAGCGACCTTCACCCCATTCAGAACCCCCCAGGAACAAGCCCCCTCACGCAGCGTCCCCCCACAAAGTGTCATTTGTGGGTGCTGGGGATGCGCGCAAGGCCCATGGGATCACGTGGACACCCCGTCGCCTGCTGATGTCCCACGCCTCCACGGTCCCCTCACTCTCAAGACACCCGTGTGCAGGTGCGGCTGAGCCGGTCCAGTGACGGCCTGGCCCTCCCTGTCTGGGGAGGGCTCCGCGTGGCGCCTGACTGAGCCCCAGTGGACGTTTGTCCCGTGCCTGCAGCTCCGGACCGGCTGGGCCAGCCTGAGCCCCTTAGATGCCGCGCTCTGCCTGGTCAGCCGGGGCCCAGGTTAGGCAGAGAAGGAGCTGGAAGGGGCTTTCCTCACACCACACCCACCAGGGCCCCCACACCAGCCACAGCACGGCTGGGCTGGCAGCCTTCTCCACTGGGCAAACTTCTATACATCCCTCAAAACCCTTTCCTCTCACTGCCTTCTCCATGTCACCTTCCCCTCCCCACCCCTAGGCCCAGCAGGGCCAGATGCAGAATCAAGGACACAGGTCTGGGGCAGCAGGGCAGAGGCGTGTCCACCTGGGCAGGAGTCCGTGGAGGAGCCCACGCCGGGTCACCCCAACACCTGCCCAGCAGCTTTGTGCTCCTGGGATGCCCCATTCCTCCCCTTGCCCCACATCCCGCTTGGAGCCCAGGCCAGCGCCAAGCGCTCACGCACGGTGCAGCGTGGCCATGGCCACAGGCCTGCGCACAGGTCCTTCCCCGCGCTGGATGAACGGACGGGGAGACTGCGGCCTGCGCAGCGAGCAGGGGAGACGCTGCTGGGGAAGGGCGGGCCTCCGCTAAGAAGCTGAAAGGCCGGGCGCACCGCACACGCGGCCTCGCTGCACCCTCAGAAGTGCCACCTCCAGGACAGGTGCTAAGGCTCAGAGGTGACTGCCTTCTGAGGTCGCCCAGCAACCGGGTGGCAGGGCCACATTCCAAAGCGAACCCACGTGGCTCCCAGGCCCAGTGTTCCCGCCCCACGGTGAGGCCTCTGCAGGGACACTCTCAGCCTCGGGGGGCCTGAGCCCTCGTCCCCCAGCCCAGCTGCAGGTCCGACAGCAGCGGCTGCCCTCCCCCCCATGGCAGCCCCGTGGGCACCTGAGGTAGAGAGGGAACCCGACCAGGACCCACTGGCCAGCCCCGTGACACCTGCCTTGTGCCTGGTGGGCATCGTGAAACCAGTGTTAGACTCCGGCCTCCAGCAGTGAGAACGCAGCCCCTCTGCGCGAAGCCACTGTAGTTGTGGTCACTGTCACAGCCACCCCAGGACATTCACACAGACTCCTGCACCCCCACCCAAGGCACAGCGCTCCTGAGTGCCTGCCCCACGCCACGTAGTGGGGGCCACAGGGTCCCAAGGGGGCACGGTTTGACTTTTCCTTGAAAATTCAGAGAAACTGAGAGTGAGTCTGAGCCTACTGGAGGAGACCGTTAAGGAGGCAGAAGGCTGCAGGCCCCATTTCAACCCCGAGCATCCACTACGGTTAAGAAAACGACCCCCACTTGGAAACGCGGCAGCACCCGGAGCACCGGCCTGCCAGGGCGCGGGGCCGGGACCGCAGCCCATCTGGCACTGGCTGGCTGCGCCACGCAGACCGTTCAGGTGCAAGTGGTCGCTCGTGACAGAGAAGACAGCCCCAGAGACCCAGGTGCCGTCACCCCGTGAGGCGCGAGTGTGCTGCATCCAGCGCTCTGCCCGGTTCCCGCGTTCACGAGTTAACAGACACGTGACACAGGCTCGGTTTGTCTGTACCAGGGTCGCGGTATTTAAACGTGAACGCTGAGCGTGCTCCTCACCAAAGGGAGCGGGAAGGCATCTCCTGGGGGAGGCTGCGGCGGCCGTTTCCTCTCCCTGCGCAGGCCCAGCCTCTCCGCTGCAGGGACGGGCTACGGCCAGGTCCTGCCTGGGATGCAGGAACGAGCTGGGACCACGCGGGGCATGGACACTAGACAGAGCCAGAGCTAAAGGCCTCTTGGCTTCACAGGTCCACGGGCAGCCGCCCCGCCTGCATCCCCGGCGCTGGCCCGTGTGCGCCTGCCGGTGCCTCTCCAGCTCTCCAGCTCACCCGCGACCTCTCCACGGGCACTGCCTGCTCCCTCCAGAAACCCCCAGCTCCGGTTCCCTGGACGGCGGGCTCTGGGACTGTCCTGAGGGGAGATGGCCCCTTGCTTGGGGCTACAGAACACGCGGGGGAGGCACCTCCAGGTTTCCTGGGGAAGGTGCCTGAGAGTCCAGCCCTGGGACTGTCCCCACTGCCTCCACAGGGACGGTGAGCTGAGCTGAGACCCCCAGCGGACAGTGCAGGGGCCCCTCCCACAGATGAGGGACAGATGGACGTGGGGTCCCCATATGTGGGCCTAGGACCACGTGGCCAGGCGGCCCCCAGACCCCACATCCGACCCTTCACGCAGGGGACCCAGGAAGCCCCAGGCGGCTCCGTGAGCAGCCAGGTTCGGGAACACAGATCCCTGCCGGCTCCTTCTCCAGAGCCTCGGAGTGACAGAGCGCAGGCACCATCTCCTGAGGGATCTCTCAGGATCCCCACGGCTGAGAACGCGCCTCCGGCCTCCTACGCAGCAGGCGTCTCCAAGCCCCTCCCGTCGCACCTCACCCTCGCCGGCATCCACGCTTTAAAGCAATGGCCGCCGAGGCTCAAGAGGGAGAAGCAGCAGCCAGAGACCTCCGCTGGGGAGGCAGAGCCACCCTGACCGCTGCCCCCTCACAGCTGGTTAGAAGCTTCTGGAATCCCTCTCCTTCCCCGCTGAGCTCCGGCAGGGCAGTCCGGAAAACAGAAGGCCAGTCGCGCACTCCCCGCATCAATGCACTGCGCACGGAAGGGCTTAAAGCCAGACTCAGATAAACACACGGGGGCCCACACGGTGACGTTTTCTTTCCAGGCGAGTTGTGACCTCCCCATGACGAAGGCCTGGGGCATCAGAGGGGCCACCGATGGGCACGATTAACACGGCGGGTTCTGGCAGCGTTGGGACCAGTACTGCCTCTGCTGCTGGACACAGGCCGAGTCCCCGCTGCAATTCCATGGAGGACTGGGGGCCGCCTGTGGGTCCCGAGGTTACGGACCCGCCATGGTAGCCTTTTGCTGGGCGTGGGCCAGCCACGTGGGCAGCACAGCTCAGCTCCAATTCACCCGCGGGCGCTGAAGACACAGATGTCTCTCTGTCCCTGACTGATGGTGAAGTAAGTCGAAGTTTGGTGTCACGTGCTGTCAGCAGAGTGGAGAAGGGGCCCAGCCCAGGAACCCCAGAACTGAGACTTCAGCCACGGCACAGTTCGCTGCCCACTGAGTCACTGCTCTGTCCCTGTGTCCCCAGACCCCTCACTCAGGCTCGCACGGAGCAGGCAGGTCTCTGTGTCGATGAAAGCGGCTGGGACACACTCATCTTCCCACCCGGGTGGAGAGCCCTGGCGGGGCCCGGCGTCCCCAGGACGCTCAAGGAGGCGCACCGTGATGTCATGAGCGCCAGCCTGCTACCAAGACCCCGCACGAGCGAGGGGCGGGGGTGCTGCTGGGGCACCCCAGGAGGCCCCCCGGACTGTCATGGGTAGGGAAGGCAGTTTGTAAGCGAGGAAGGGTCCAGAGGAGGGTGGCCAGCGCCACAGAATGCTCCAGAGCCTGAGGTTCCCGCCTGTGGAACCCCCGCTGCTGCCCCGTCCCCGGGGCAGGTCTTGAGGAGCCAGATGCTCTCCCAAAGGCCACGGACGGAAGCCACAGCCACTCACCTTTCCTTGAACTCGAGGAAGACCTTGGCCAGAGCGCCGCCCCCTGCCGTCACGGACACGCCGATGGCCCTCAGGAAGCTGTGGTGCACCCTGATCAGGTCCTGGGACAGAAAGAGCCATTAGCGCAGCACCGGGCCCACCGAGGCGCGAGGGGCACGCCACCGTGACACACCCTGGCGGCTCTGCTGTGTCTGTCGGGGGCATCTGTGTGAGGGGCCTGGGCTGGGCTGCACCTGCATCCCCACTAACAGCGGGTGTGACCCGGTAGAAGGTTCTACAGCACAGAGGCGCCCACGGTGTGGCTGGAGGGGACGCCCACAGCCGGCATCAGCCCGTCCGACACACCACGGCCAACCCAGGGCAGGCTCCAGGGCTGGAATGGACAGCAACGCGTGGCGCTGCTTCTCCCAGCCAGCACCCTGGGGAGTCCCCTTCCCACCCCAGACTCTTCCTGTCCGCGGTCACCGTCCTGGCCACGGCTCACGGCAGGATGAACTCTGGGTCAGGCGGGGCACAGAGGGCAGGAAGCTCCGGGGTCTGGGTCAGTTCATCCAGGAGAGCGTGAGCAGAGCCCACCCCTCGAGCGGGCCAGAGGCGGAGGGAGGCAGGACGGAGCCACCAGCACCAGCCACTGCCCCGTGGCTGCCGGGCCAAAAGGAAGGGCCAGGAGCACCGTGCTCCCAGAGCAGGCCCACCCCTGCATGGCCTCCAGAGCCTCGGGCCAACCCGCCTGCTCTGCCACCAGGTTGAGGCAAGTCTCCACGTGGGGACCTGCCTGTCACACATTCGTGTTTGGCATCCAGGAGCAGGAGGGCTTCTCAGAGAGGTGGGGGCACATTTCTCCCCAACAGCCCACTTGTGGGGTCTCCAGGGCCTCTCCCAGGGCTGTGCACGCCTGTGCCACACCCGCCGTGCGCAAGTAGGGCGCCTCTCGTGCCCTGCCTGGACACCTCGCGCCCCAGCCACCCCCAAGTCCAAAGTCCCTGGAGAGGGGGCAGGGCTCTCCCCCAAGCCACCATGGAACCAACAGGGACGGCAGCGCCCAAGCTGGCTGGACCCTCACCTCCAAGTTGATGAAGACGGCCGCCATGTCCGCCGGGCTCAGCACCAGCCGCAGGGGGCTCATGTAGTTCTGGAAGAGAGAAGCCTCCACTGGGCCTCGGCCAGGGGCTGCCCACCCCGTCAAGGCTGCCGCCACCGGCAGCAGGGTCCCTGGCGAGGCTCCGCAGGCCAGGTACAGGGGAGTCCCAAGCCATGACTGGCTCGGTCCTGCAGTGACAAGTGCCTTGGGGGACCTATTGGGGGTGGGTGGGACGGTGCCCAGGCAGCCGTCCCTATGCCCTGGACCATGATGAGAGTCCCGAGATGGACGCTGATGTCATTTGTGGGAAGGACAGGGCCATTGCCCAAGGGCACCCTTCCAGAAGGACAGGGCCACAGTTCCCAGCCAGCATGCAAACACCTGAGCTGTGCTCCTGCGCACGCCCCCAAAGCTGCCATCAGAAAGGACACTGTCCACCCCCAGAGGCAAGCAAGTCCTCCCGCCCCAGCCTTAGATGAGACCGGAAGTGAAAACAAGGGCACGTGAGAGTGTCCACACCACCCGCTCCTCTCCCAGGCCCCACCCCGGGGCTCCTGGCCGGGACTGGCAGCAGCTCGTGGTGCGTCCAGTGGGCCCAGCAGCTGGGCTCGTCCTTGGCCCCCATGTGGGGCGGAGAGAGCTGTCAAGAGGGACAGGCACCGGTGGCCGCTGTGCGTGGCTAAGTGGTTCTACCTATGCCGAGCGGGGGCCGGCTTGGCCTCTCTGGGCTGTTTCCTCGCCTGTGACAGGGGCCTGCAATGCCTACCTAGCGTGGCTAGGGGTGGCCCACAGGGGCCCTTCCTGAGCACACCCCCTGCCCCACCTGAGACAGGCACGGCGCCTCCCAGAAGGAGCCGATCTCGGAGCCTCTGCTGGGGAGGACGGGCAAGGCTTTGAGGGGACCGGAGGGCCTGGGCCAGGCTGTGCAGCTGGGACAGGCACCAAGCACTGGGTGGGGGGAGGAAGGGCCCGGCCCGAGCAAGGCAGGCCTGGCCCAAGGGGCATCCCAAGTCTCCTGGGGGGAGGCGCCACACTGCCCTAGACAGTGAGGGACTCACTTAGGTGTCCCCACAGCCACCCTGGACTCCATAGCCAGTAAGATTCTATCTTGAAAACAGTGTTGTTTTTCTCACCCCAGTAAGCATGGGCAGTTGGCAATGAGGACATATAAGTCACAGGGCGAAGCCCCAGAGCCGGGCCTCCTATGGGACAGGGGCCAGAGTGGGTGGGGCAGGTGAAGGCCACCTGTGTCCCCAGGGGCTCGGCAGGCAGAGGGAGAGGACTTCAGAGGCCGAGGGCAGAGCAGCCGTCCCCGGAGCTCCAAGTCTGCCGCTCAGGCCATCGGCCCGACCACGTTCCACACAGGATACTCCCGCTGCCTGGGGCGGCTGCCGGTCCCACGTCACAGAGGGACGCAGAGCAAAGAGGTCAGACATGGTCCTCAGTGGCAGGCACACGTCGGCGAGCACGCACACACGGCTCAGAGCTGTGGGGACTGGGACGGCCGCCTCCTCTGCGCGGAAGGTGCCTGACAGTAGGGCAGAGAGGGCCACTGGCCATCTGGTCACAGCTGCCCAAGTCCCGGCCTGACGACTGCATTGCAGGAGACCTGAGGCCCCGCCATGACATCAGGCAGCCGTGGCCACCATCCGGTGGCCCACGCTCACCTTCTCGATGTCCTCCAGCGTCCGGTAGTACTTGGCCTCGGTCTCCTGTATCTCCAGCAAGCAGCAGCTCCTCTTGTCATCCTCGGTCATGCCCATCTTCTGGAGGAGGGACAGGAGACACGTGCCAGGACCCCCGTGGGCCTGGCTGCCAGCCGCCCACACCGCAAGGCCCAGCCACCCGCCCCACGTGACAAGAAGACGCCTCTGGGGTTTGGCCACGAGATCTCTGGGGGTAAAACGGTGAGGCAAGAAGGGAGACAGGCGGCCTGGGGCCTCCCATCCATTTTGCCGATGGGGAAACTGAGGCACGGGGGGGTGGGGACGTGAGGTTGGGACAGTGCCAAGGAAGGCCTGGAGGCTTCTAGAACCCTAGGTTCCTGTTCCTCTGATATGAGTCTCCATTCTTCACCACACTGAGGTGAGGGCCTCAGAAACTGCCCTCTCCAGCGCGCACAGGTCCTCGCTATGGGGTGGGCGGTGCCACTGTGCTCCCCACGGGCCACGCCCACCACCATGCAGGCATCCCAGCGCCAATCATCCCGCAGACCAGGTTGCCCCTGGTCACCACGCGTCCACTGTTCTCCACCCACGGCGCCTGAGATGACAGGGTCACTGGGGTCACACCTCCAGAGCAGGACCTGTCCCGCCTCCAGGAGGACACAGCCTGGCTGCCGGGCAGGGGGAGCCGGCAGGTGGGGCACGGGGGCAGGGGCGGGTTTTCCCAACAGCTTCCTTGGGTTCCTCTGCACTGAGTGAGCCATCTCTGCCAGAGGCTCTGGGCAAACGGTGCTGGGAACTGTGACCTGCCACTGCACTTACGTCGGCCCTGAGACTGTCACCATCCTCCAAGCAGTGCCCAAGGTCCCCTTTGAGTCCGCCAGGCCCAGCTCTCCAGGGCAACGTGCAAGATGAGGCCAAGCAGAGCCCCCGAGGCTCCTTCCCAAGCCCAGGCCCTGCCCAGCAAGGGGCCTCATGGGGAGCGTTGGGGTACACGATACCCCCAAAACCATGTGTGCCTGATGGCGTCTCCCTGGAGACAGGGTCCCGAGTCTTCTCAAAGAGGTCTGAGACCTCCCCTAAAGGTCGAGAAGATGGTGCTGGCAGAACGTCCCCTGTCCCCCCTTACGGGCCACTTACCTGCATGTACCTAATCTGAGAGCATGGGAAATAAACGAGAGACAGCACTGGTTAGCGGGGGCCACTCTGTCCTCTCAAGCTGTGGCTGGGGATGTCCAGGACGCCCACCCCACAGTTAGCCAACAGCCCAGAAGTCAGGGCGCGGCCCCTCTGTGGGCCGGGCTGGGTGGAGAGGAGACGGCGCGGGGACCAGGGTCCCACAGCACCTCCCCCACGTCTGGGCTCTGCAAGTGGCACCTACCGTCCTCTGGCTTTGTCTTTGAGGAAGTCACCATGTCATGACCTTGCACTTAAACCGTTCAGGTAGTTCCAGACATGACACGGGAAGAGATAAAACCAGCTATTTTATCTCAGAGGTCCCTGGCAGCAAGCAAGAGTTCCCCCAGCCCCCAATCGACTGGACGGCTTGAGAGCTCCAGCACCGCACTGGGCGTTAGGACCGGCGCTGGGCGTTAGGACACTGCGCCGGGCGAGGCAGGCAGGACGCCAGCCCATCCCCAGGACACAGGAGCGTGGCTTCCCCACCGGCAGGCTCTGCAAACAGCCCCATGTCCCCTCCCGTGCGCTTCAGAACCAGGGACAGCAGCAGGCTCCAGGACTGCCTGCCCTGTGGTCTCCGGCCAGGCTAGAGGGGTCCCCACAGAGAAAGCCTGCGTGGCCTGGGGGCGGGCACCTTCCGAGCAGCCCCCCAGGCACGGCGCCCACGTGCACCCCAGGATCCCAGCCTTCAGGGGACTTGGAGGCGAGGGGCCCGCTCAGAGCTCACGGCCAAACCCAGAAGGCTCTCCGGGCTTTCGCAGGAACTTTCGGGCCCGCGCTGGGGAGTGACGGGGTCCTCCAGCAGCAGGGACCGTGGCTCGGCCTTCCTGCCCCGCTACCAGACTTTCCGGAAGGCTCAGGAGCAGAGCCGCCCCTCCGCTCCCCAAAAGGGCCCATCCTCTGTGGAGCCAGACCCTGGCTACGGTGGCGACAGAAGCCACCACCAGGCCCTTCAGGGCAAAGTGGGAAACCTGCTTGGCAGCAGGGCCCGGTGCTGGGGACCCACTGCCGCACCTCCTTGGCACTCCCCGTGCGCGCCAGTGGATGCGGCCGGGCTTGGTGGGGGGCAGGGGTGTCCCTGGAAGACCTCTAGGGACTTATCTGTTTCCCAGCTTTTTGTTCCCCCACCACCGGCTGGTTATTCCGGCACGGAAGGAAACACTGAGATTTGCTTTTCGAGAGATTTCCCGTTTCTCCAGGGAAGGCAAAGGGCATCGAAAGGCCCACGGTTGGCCAGTGGCATCTTGCCCGCCTCTCGGGAGCCTGGGGGTCCGAGGGCACCACGGCCTACCCCACCCCCGCCCTCTGGACCCTGCACCCCCCCACAGCAGCTGCTGGCAACACACTGGCAGGAGAGGTTACAGCCAGCGCCTGCGTGGGGCAAACACCTCTGCAGCGTAAGGCACACGGCCCGCTGACTGTGCCAGCACCGCCCCTCGCTCTCCGCAGAGGAGATGATGTACGCTGGGGCACACCCAGCTCGGAGTCACCGCCCCAGGGCTCCCTGGGCAGGAAGGCCGAAGAGCGCCACGACAGCACACCTGAGGCACCTCAGGACACCTCCACGGGGTGGGGGTGCGGTGTTCCCAGGATGCTCCGCCCTCCAGACGCCCCCACAGTTCTGCTAAGCAAGGCAGGTGCCCTGCAGGCGAGCGGTGGGGGGGCGGGGGGCTTACCGCTTACCATGGGCTGCTGCACCTCCACCTTGATGATGTCCTCGTAGATGTCGTCCCCTCCGTCCTCACACGGGACGCAGTCGTAGATGTCCTCCCCCAGGTCATGCTCGCTGCACAGGAGGAGGCTGGTTAGCAGGGAGGCGCAGGGCGAGCCCACCAGGGACACAGATGGCCGAGGCCAAGGTGCGGTCCCTGCTCCAGCCTCAGTCTACAGAACGGGGATGCCAATGCCTGCGGGTTCAGAGTCCGAACCGGCGTAGGGAACGTCATCTTACTCTGCCCGCTGCCTACGCGACAAGTTTCTGCAGGACCCGCCACGGAAGAGTCCAACGTCTCCAGCCCTTGGGTCAAGGCTGGGACACAGGCCAGACGCCCGGGGCGGGACCCTGCCTTCTCCAGATCTTCCCACTGCAAGGCTACGGCAGCGCCCAGCTCCGGCCTGCGGGAGGAACCCACCTTCCCCGGCCCGCGCCTGTGGCCTGGAGCCCTGAGCGCTCTCAGCCCAGCCCAGGGTCTCCCAGTCCTCGCAGCCAAGGTGCAAGGGTCACGGGCACGCAGGGAGGGACGCGGAGCTTGAGTCGGACCTTCCCAAACCAGCGCCAGGAAATCACCGCCTCATCGGCAGTGCAGAAAAGCTTTGTTTCGGCTCATGACTGTGGCTTGATTCTACTCCAACGAGCTGCCCTTTGCCTGCAGGACTTAGTTCAGGGGACACCTTGTCCAGGAGGTCTCCAGGACGTCCCACCTCATCTGTGCTCCAGGCCTCCTGGCTCGCTGCCGTGCGGGTCATCGGCTGCGATCCCAGTGATTCTGAAAGTGGCTGTTGACCTACCTCTCCCCTGGATGAAATCAACTTCGTCCCTTCTGAACCTCCACCCCTGACACGGGTAGGCGCTCGGAGAAGTTTCCACGGAGTCGGCAAACGAGCCAATCCATTCACCCACCCACTCCCACAGGCCCCGCTTGGGGGGGTCACTGCACCTGGGGTCTCAGGGACAGGAGCACCCCAGGCCCAGGCCGGCCGAGGTCTTCAGCTCTGCCGTCCGGCGTGTCCAGGGGAGGCTGTGCCCAGAAGCCGGCCCTGCGGGCCCTCAGCTCTGTGCGGGGACGCACCTCACAGCCTGGGCTCAAGGCGGGCCCGGCAAATCTCACTTCCAGAAGGCACGTAAAGGCTATGGAGCCCCACCGCCACCCCCCAGGGGCACGGAGGGAGGGAGGCCAGGGCAGGGTGAGACCGGCACCCGCTCTTGACCACCCCCTCCCGCTTTCTCAGGCTGGGGGATCAGAGGGGGCCGGTGTGTCTGTGTTCAAGGACGGTGCACGCAGCCAGAGGGGTCTCCACAAAGCCCTAACACCTTCCCTGTGGGACCCTCAGCCTCCCCACATGCTGTCCCCGAGGACTGCCCCCCGCTCTGCCCGAAGTTAGCAGGTTCTAGGCGAGCAGCTGTGGGGGCTCTTTCAGCAGGCGCAGCCCCCCGGACTTCTGTTGCGCAGCAGAGCGAGGCTGGCGGCAAAGCCTGTCGGGAACTCTGACACTGCGGAACGGAGGCGAGATCGGGAGCTTCCGGGCTGCTGAGCCGGACAACTGAGAGGTAGGGCGAGGCCTCCACGCTCTGGGGACAGACAGCGGCTTCGTGCAGTGCAGGTGCACGGAAGCAGGGCAGGGGCAGGGGTGGAGAGTTGGCTGTTAAATATTCTAAAAGCCAGTGAAATGGATAAAAATGGCTACAAGTTGGGCCAGGATAGGGGATCCTGAGGTCGCCCAGTGTGGGATGGCAGACAGTCATTGTGGGGACACCCTGGGTCCGGGACCGTCCCCCCAGTCCCGCTGGGAGTCCTTTCAACAAAGATCTCTGTGCAGCCTCCGCCACGAATCACCCACAGCTGGTGCCCGAGATGGCCAAGCGCCCCCAGGCTCATTGCTGGACGGCGGGGCAGCCGACAGGGACGCCCCCTCGCTCCCAGCCTCCCTCCTGTGCCTGGTCATGTGCTCACCGGCTACACGCTCACGGTGGGCGCAGCTCTGACGGCAGGCCTGGGGGGATGGGTGAACCAGGATGGATCCGTCGGTCTGGGGGGCTCCAGCCCCACCAGGAGGCCACAGGAGCACGGTGGTGTTTGAGGGGAGGGCAGTGACGGCCCAAGCGGTCAGGAGCTTCCCGGACAGATGAGGCTTGAAGGAGGCTTCGAAGCCGTGTGGACCTAGACAGGGTGCTGGGGGGGCACGGTTCCTCCCCCACGCCCCTTCCTCAGCCCCGTGTGTAAGTCAGACTGGCTCTGCGGGTCCAGGTGCGGCCCTGCACGTACAGAACACCCGCTGTGTGTCAACGGGAGACGGGCCATGTGCGGGTTCTCCACCACAGCTCTGCCGAGGTTTCCAACGGCCAAAATGCGCCCGCAGCTGCAAGGCGTGGACAAATGGACACGCCTGTGTAGATCACACCCTACGCCACACGCGAGACAATCTCGCCTCATCTCCCCTAAAAGCTCCCCCCTTCCGCAGTCGCCACCCGACGTCTCCCCACCAGAGGTCAGTCCTGTCTACGGGGAGCGTCGACGCGCCGTGCATCGCGCCGCCTTTGTGTCCGGCTCCTTTTCCGCCGCACCGCCCGGTGGTCGCGCTTACTGCTGAGTACTAATCCGCGGCACAGTAACAATGTGTCATCCATTCTGCTGTCTGACGGACGTCTGGGCTGCTTCCGAGTTCGGGTCATTGCGAATAAAATCTGCCACGTGAGTACTGAAGTCTTGTGTGTGTGTCGGGGGGACACACACTTTCATTGCTTTTGGGAATGAGATTCCACCAGGACGGGAGTTGCCGGGTCAAAGGGCAGCCATATGTTCAACTTCCCGAGCAACTGCCGAACGTCCTCCGAAGCGGCGGAGCACCCCTCCCCGGCAGCGAGCGCAAGCTGCAGCTGCTCCGCGGCCGCCGTCTCTGCGGTCTCAGACGCTGAGTGGCATGCGGCGAGACAGCGCCGTGGTCTCACTCTGCACTTCCCTCATGACTGACGCCACCGAGGAGTCTTCCGCGTACTCACCGCTCAAGGCTGCCGTCCGTCTCTGAACACGCACTGTCTTCTGTCCTCTTCGATCCAGGAGCTCTTACGTCATCTGGATCCGAGTCGGATGTGCTTTACGATTTCTGCCCCGTCTGGTCGGCAACTCGTTTTCTTAGCGGTTCCTTGACAGGCCTCGTTTTTAACTCCATGGACTCTAACCTACCCGCGGTGTGCGTCTGCCGTGGAACGTCGTTCCGGCCCGCCGACCGGCCGTCCCTCCGTGTGCCGACGCCCCTGCGTCTTCACTGGTTTTACAGAAAGCCCTGCAATCAGGTAGCGCAAATCCGCCGGCTTCGCTCTTTTACACGACTTTTGGCTACTCTGAGATCGTTTGCATTTTCATACAAACTTTAGAATCATCTTGTCAGTTTCTCAAAAAAAAAAAAAAAAGTCTGCTGGGATCAGAAACTGCTGGAATCCAGGGTTTAATGTGGGAGAACTGACATCTTCGTATCATCTTCCCATCCCTAAGCACAGCCTACGCGTTCGGTTATTTAAGTGTTCACTAACGTCTCTCGGCAAAGTGCTGTCGTATCATCACAGAGGTTTGGGGTTCAGGAAGTGCAGGGCTTTCCCCAGCGCTTTTCCTGCCTTCTTCACTCCTCTCGACTCTGGGGGTTTGGGACCCAAACCGCTCCTGTCGGCCCTGCCGGACGCCGCCCCTCCCCCATCTCCTTTCCGCTCAGGCGCGCGACTTCCAGCGGACTGTCTTCCAGTCCAACGCCTCTTCCCTCTGCTGTCCGCAAGCTTTCATCGAGCGACTCCAGTGACAGCTCATTCTGGAAATTCTGCTTTTCAGTTTTACAATTTCCACCTGCCCCGTCTGAACGGTGTCTCTCTGCCGAGGCTCCCAGCTGTGCGTCCATGCGTCACACGCCGTCCTCTGAGTCCTCAACCGTATTTATAAAAGCTGCCTGGTGGTGAATTTGACTGAGCCGAGGCTGCCCAGACAGTTGGGAAAACGGTATTTCTGTGTGTGTCTGTGAGGGTGTTTCCGGACAGGTTGGCATTTGAATCGGAGACCAGGCAAACAAGCTCGACCCTCGCCACCGAGGGCGGCGTCATCCCACGGGGAGCCTGGGTAGAAGAGGGAGGTAGAGGAGGGGCAGACGCGCTTCTCCTGCCCTCCGACGCCGGGACTCCCGCTCGCGGGAGGGAGGGTCCGGCTGTGCACGCGTGCGCTATTTTCCCGCTCTGAGCCTCAGCTTACACCCATGCAAATGGAGTTGTTTTAAAGGTTACAAGTGACATATCTGAGGAGGTCTGACTTTCAGTCGTGGTAGAGTAGTGTGGGCAGCCTGATGTCCCTGCAGCCGGCGACTACACAACTGCCCCCACCCCCTCAGTCCTCAGGCCTGGGCCCCGGGATGGACACGTCGCTGGCCCCTGATGGACCACAGCAGCAGCTGCCCTGGTCTCTGGCCTGCAGTCAGCCACCCCCGCTGGGACTCTCTGGCCTCCAGAATGGCACGAGCCAACGCCCGTGGTAAACGCCCTCTCATCTACCTCCACGGGTCCTGTGGGTTGTTTCTCTGCACGGCGCTGATGAACGCGGCCGCCGCCGGCACCTCTGAGCCCGCTACGCCGGCCCTATCGCCCATCTGTTCCCCAGCGTGACTCACTCCCCCGTTTCCTGCACTTGGCGGTTTATTTATTGGACACGGGACATTATGAATGAGACATTGCGGAGACTCTGCGTCCCACAACTTCTGACATTGTGAGTGCGCAGCCAGCCGGACCCCTCCCTCCCACGGGCACCTCCCTGAGAACGAGCCGGACAGCGCGGCCCTGCCCACCCCTGTGCTCGAAGGCAGGACAGGACCATGGGACTGAGAGGCTGGGTACAGCCCAGGGGTCACCCCGACATGGGACTGAAGACACTGGGCACACTCCTGGGGGTCACCCCTACACACATTCACCCCACATTCTGAGCTTGCTCTTCTTTCCCACATCCGTGACGACGGGGACATCCGTTCCCCCAGGCCTGCTCCCCACTCGTCTGTTCTCACTGACCAGGGCACCGAGGCTGAGCCACCAGGCGTGAGTGGCAAAGCTGTGTTTTGGAATCTTAACTCGGGACAGAGAAACCTCAGCA